TAAATAATTTTATGATAAAAAATAACGTAACGTCGGAGAGAGATGACTCGATCGTTATATCACGCTCACATACGACGTAAATGCCGCACGATAAGCGTCGGACGTAAACTTAGAAGCAGAAATCGTTGTTTTTTTGTCCGGCGCTTAATTCCGCGATCCTTATTCCGCGCGTGCTTTCTCTCTCACGAGAAAGTGTATAGATTTTACTTCAGTTATATAGACTGAGAAGGAAGCAGAAGAATTTGGCGGACGGCGCTGATACCGTGCTGAAAGCGGCGCTGCGCTCGGACAACGCGAGACCGGATGTCTGAACACGGGAAATACATGGCGAGTGTGCTCTGCGGGAGATAAGCTGGTTTACCAGCCTTTCGATCGCTAACGGGCCCACAAATGGAACGGGGGAGCGAGGATTTTGAAACTTTCACAGCGTCCGTGCGAAAGCAAGCAAAAGGTGCATCGTACCGTAATGCCGCGAGATTTACTATCGGCTCAACTGTAGTGTCATCGCGAAGGTTTTACAATGGCGAGAGAAAGCAAACATTTCCTAAGCGCGAAATGCAAATCGCGCTTTAACCGTCCTCGAAATTACCCCGAGCCGTTTATCTCGACGTTGCCATTGTTACGCAATCCGGTGTACTTAGTATATTAGCGTGTCGGAAGCTCCGCGTTCGAGAAATATTGTACTTTCGCCGAATGAGAATCGACCGACGACTCCACCTTTACGTCTGTCGATTCAAACGACGCCCCGAATCATTTTTGGCTAATTAGCCGGCCGTGGTACTCGGATACTCGGCGTGGAATACAGTTATCGGGAAGTTCAATATTGGCTTCCGGACGAGGTGAATATTCAGCGGAGACGAATGTCGGCGCGAACGAAGCTACCGAGGGAACTTCTGAAGTCAGTTCGCCGGAGCGCCGGTATAGTACAATGTTCGTCTGATTGTCAATTTGTATTCGAGAAGTGTCACGACGTCGTCCCGATACCCGTCACCGGCGACCGGTGCCTTTGTCTATCATCGTAATGCCTGCCGTCGCGTATACATTAACGGCATGGTTTCCGTCAAAAAACGCGATCGATATTCTTCGATTTCTCCACTTCTTTTGCCGGGCGAATTTTGTTCTTTCCTTCGACGTGCATTATACGACGTTACTACGGTCACTGACACCGACAAGCTTATTTCAAATTAATTTTTTAACGGTAATCAAAACTGCTCACTATTTTTTCAGCACTGGAAAACCAAGAGAGACAAGACGGGATAAGCTAAAGGATTTAACGTAAAAATATCAATGCTTTGGACATGTATCTAAATCGGAGCATTTTTATTATTATGGTCTTTAAATAGGAATATTTAAGCTTTCAACATACAATACGCATATATATATGGAATATGTAGATCCTACATTGAAAGTTTAAATATTGGTACTTAAAAACCAAAGCACAATAAAAATGTATTCACGGGTTAGATATTTGTTCGGGAATTTCATCCCTCTACATGTTATTTACGAATTTATTTGTAATATTTACACTCATAATAAAAAGAAAGTCATTTGATCTACATAAAAGAATAGCTCATCTATAGATGTTCCTTGTTCAAAAGCTCGTAAAGTTTCCGCGAACGTTTATGATACAAGTCGGGCCGCCGTTTTGTACTCATCTTATTGCAGACAGAGCGGATGCCACGGGCGTCGCGTGAAATGATAACGAAAACGGTACAAGAGACAACGTTCGGAAACTGTCGGAACGACGACGGTTACGACTATCAGGAGAACGCTTCGATATTGGCTGCTAGCCCATCCCAGCCGAATATCCACTAGAGACGAGTGTCCACGCGGACGCCAATGCGCGCGAGAGGAGCGAAGGGGGAGAATATTAGAATAGGAGAATAGCGTGGTGTGGCAGCGAGAGAGGGTGAATTTATCGAGGGCTGGTTTATTAGCCATTAGGGGAGAGCCACCTCACGGAATATTGTCCCGGCACGTTCTGCCGCATATACGAGTGCCGATCGCAGTCGCGATGGTGCAAGCTGCAACCTGCAGCCTGCGTCCGAAGGGCGGAAAATTGAAATTGAGCCTCCATCGCCCCGCAGCGGCCGGATATATCCGCGACGTCAGCGGATTCGTCGTCTCTTATATCCGGCGAAATGTTTTATTTCGTATAATTCCGCGCGCGAGACGGAAGAACGCATTTTTCCCTCATCGTAAACGGTATAAAGTTGTCGCGTGGCTCGAAAGAAAGTTCCTGCGGCACAAATTCGCTCGTTAGAAATTTATTCACCCGGAATGAAGCATCGAGTGAGTAAACGAGGAAATTGTGTATTATCGTCGTCTCACAGTTTCTTAAACAGATCTGCTTATTGAGTATTTGTTAATTTGTTCGGTTCAAATATTTCACTGATTGAACATTTCTCTGATACACGATCCTTTCACTTTTATCCGCGATTTCGAGAACCGCGTGGTGCTTAATTCGCAATCAATTGTTAATTCTCTCTAGTATTATGCTTCTCTAGTGTGGAAATGATAAACCTACAATCTAAAGAGCCATCTACAAATCTCCAAGAACATTTGGAAGCTTAAACCGCACGAGCGCGTAGATATCCGGAGACGTGGATTAAGCCTTTAAAGCATTTTATTACTCGGACATAAATTCTCCGGCGGAACAGAGCCATTGTTGCAGGGAAACGCGTGACGACGAAGGAAAGCCGAAAGCAGAAAAGCAGGAACGACAGAATCAATATTGGCTGCTCCTGATATTTGTTTGGGATGCGACTGGGAACCGGATTGTGTGCTGGAACAGGCAACAGAATGAAAAGGACACAATCGATTCGAGACAGAGATCCTTTCGCTTAATCGAAAACGTCACCGTTCTCTATGAGGAACCAATATCGACAAGGAAGGGAGAACACGCGGAAAAGAGATATCTCGATCATACATAGCAATTTAAAGTATTTGCACTTTTAATGCAAGTACCTTGTTTAATTATAAATTGTAAACACCAGTTACCACACGAACGCACACAAGAAATAAGTTAGAACTACACGAGCTGTCCTGCAACTCGCGACCGTAAGTTTACCGATAGATTTTCTCTGCAATTCGAATTTGATTTTTTCTCAGCAAAAATTTTAAGAGACGCTATCGTTTATCGCAATTTTTCAATTTCCAACATTATACACATCTGTGATTAAATCTTAAATTAAAATTCTGCCAAAGTAAAGTTTGTGAGAAGCTTTTTTTTATCGTCCGCGTAACCTAGAAAGCCGAAGGTTTTCCACCATCACCTTTAATACGCGTTATGAAAAGAAAACGACTTTGAATTTGTCAGAGAATTGTCGTTAAAATTAAAATCACCAATAAAACTCCTCGAATCAAAATTCTAGTTCTCATAACACATTTTGTAATTAATATTTTGTTAATTTTGTAATTTACGTAACTGTAAATTGTAAAATAAGCAAACAATAAACAGTTCTAATAACAGATAAATATTGGGATTAATGGATAAATAAAATAATAAATTTTCTTTATCCGTAATTCTTTTCGCGTATTATTTTTTCGTTGGTGCTGAAAATTTCGATATAATTTGAATATTCGAAAAATCCGAAAAGGAAAAAGTAAGGACACCTTAGACTGCACTCGTAGTTGTAAATTATTTATAATCTTTAATTGAGTGCATAGTTAACTACAGATTTCTATTTATAGTCTGTGATTCAAACTGATTTATGTAATTGTTTGAATCAAAATTTTTTGTTGTATAAAATAAATATTGTTAACGAATAATTAGTGATTCATGAAGTTATTATGATTATTTATCAAACAATATGATAGACTGTGAATGCCGGTTTTACACAGAAAAAAGATTAATTGCAAGAGCTAAAATATATAGATTGACCAATGGGAATGTGTTGAAAGTAAACGGTTATTACTTCGCAATAAATAGGCTGAATGGAATGAATAAAACGCCATTTTGTAGAGGAAACTTGTTAATTTTATTACCATATATATAAAAAAGAAATATAGTAATTTAATAATTGAAATATACATTATAAAGAGAAGGTAAAAATTTGCTTGCGCGTATGAATTAATGGTATATATTCTCAAAATATTGGCCATTGGAATCAGCACAGAACTGTAATCGTTTTCGAAAACTTTGAAATACATTATCTAACATAGATATAGTAATGCTGCGAGTGCATTTTTGACTTACTATCTACCAGCTCTGCGGTATTTTGAGGTTCCACGGCGTAACTTTTATCTTTAAGGTAACCCCAAAGGAAAAAATTACATGGACTCAAATCGGGTGAGTAAGAAAATTTACTCATAGAAGTCTGGAGTAGTCTCCTTACTCATACGATTTGAATCCATGTGATTTTTTTCTTTAGGGTTACCTTAAAGATAAATGTTACGCCGAACAACCTCAAAACACCGCAGAGCTGATAGATAGTATTCGAAAATGCACTCGCAGCATTCCTATATCTATGTTAGATAATATATTTCAAAATTTTCGAAAACGATTACAATTTTGTGCTGATTGTAATGAATAACATTTTGAAAACATATATCATTAATTCATACGCGCAAACAAATTTTGTATTTTTTTTTATAATATATATTTCAATTATTAAATTACTGTATTCCTTTTTTATATATATGGTAATAAAATTAACAAGTTTCCTCTATAAAATAGCATTTTATTCATTCCATTCGACCTATTTGTTGCGAAGTAATAATCGTTTACTTTTAATCGTTTACATCATCGCTACTGAAGCTAAATTTTTTAGTTATTTGAACTATGATGCTACGGCAAAAAATATTTGGTACTGGATAGTAAGTTTCTGTTGTTAAAATTTCGTTTTTGTTTTTAAATCGCATTGTATATCCGTCAAAAACATAAAACTAACGCCTCGCATTACAAATCCAAATCAAGGTTTCCCATTGATTTTCAACATAGATTAATAATTAATGTTCACTTTAATAAAAGTATAAAAACCGATGTCTTTTGTACTTACATGATAATATTATTTGGTCCTCACTCCGTGGAAAGACGATTTCACGTCCGTCGGAAGCGCGGAGATTTTCCCTATCCAGTGATCCTTGTTTCAAGTCGCTACAACGTCTACAAGTGGAATTATTGACGATTATATCGATCTGCATTCTGGATCGTTCGGCGTTATCGCTGCGTCGCGGCTGTAGGCAGGCACTACGCGACGCACGAATGGAATGCGAAACGCGACTAATTTTCCTTGGGAAGTCACTTTGCGTGGCACGCGGCGAGCGCTTATCTCGCTACCCCCACTCCGCGCTATCTCAGATAAACACTGTCGTATCGCGGCATACCACAACCACGCGGTCATTCACCTCACTTTACAACAAGCGAACAGTGCGCCGCAGCGAGAATAACTTATTTATTAATTGTTAGAGCGAAAGAAAGTTTAGAGCATTTTAGAGGTGTGATCGATTGCAAATATCATTCTTTGAACATATCTTTTTCTTTCGACGTGCTTTGCAGAAATTTTTAGCATACATTTCCTCGCTTCCGATGTTACAATCAATATTTACTCGGTTATTTAATATTTGTTTAAGGCGTATGTTTAATTTGCATTTGAATAAATTGCGTAATTAATACATTGCTTGTTGAAATTAATTTAATACGAAAATTTTGACTCGCGGATCCCGGCGCTCTGAGGCACGATTTTATTGCATAACGAGAAACAAAATGAATACAATTTAAAATAATATCAAAGAAGAAAACTCGGGACGTCGCTATTTCAAGAATTTTAAAGTTTCCTAGATTTATAACGGTACGGGGATCAACAAGTTCTGGTACGATTCGTAGCGTGCACTCGCATACGCCTCCACGCGCAGAAAATGAAGTGGCTTTTACGTCATTGGTGATATATTTCGCGAATGTCCTTGCCGAGGAACGCACGCAATCCCCAACAAAGAAACTGCCGAAGTGGGTTAGTGAAACGGGCGAAGAAACAAGGAGTCAGCGGCGGTGAGAATGGACGGAATTGATAGTGATCTTAATTAAAATTAGGGAGTTACCGGGCCTGGCGTCGCGTAACGCTTTCGTGAATCGCCACGGCCTCTGTCATTCCCGATTTGCATAACAGTAAAGATCCCCGGGATCACACTTTATACACCGAGATGCGTTATGCGCGCTCGTTACTTAGGCGATTTCATTAACGCGATGCCCATGTTCGCGAGCCTGGCCACTTCCGCTGTAACCTGTAACCCCGAGATTACGATACAGCCAGCGATATTACGTTACGTTGCGATTCAGCCGCCGCGTAATACTTCGAAGTTTTTTCACACGGGGCGAAATTGGTACGGGTCAAATCCGTTCGTTTAACACTTCTACATACAGAAAAAATCGTTCTGCTAAAAAAAATGATCATTCAATTTACTTTCCTTCTTTTGAGAAATGTCTATTTCCAACATATTTTCCTGAATATTTTTCTACGTGAATAGTTTTGTAATATACTCGTCACAAATTTGAGAATGCGAAAAAAGAATGATTCTTCTCACAAATGTTATAAAATTTTATCCAAGTTGATTCAACTCTATATAGTGAGTAAACTAAATTTTTATTTTAATTCAATATTTTTGAACAAAATGCTAAACTTACTACACGGAAAAAAAAGTTTGGTTAAATTAAGCAAATATGTGGTCGAATATGAACGATCCAGAAATTCCGATTGAAGTAACCCGAATTCTATTTAAGTCAATCAAAAATCTTGTTAACTTAAGCAGAATTCGGGTTACTTCAATCGAAATTTCTGGATCATTCATATTCGACCAGATATTTGGTTAATTCAACCAAATCTTTTTTTCCGTGTAAGATTCAGAATGTATTTCGAGTAAATGTTTAATGTGCTTGTGACAAATTTATGATAGATTTGCAGATATTAAATATGTAAACTTATGAAATACTTGAAAAAAATATTTCACAAATATTTCAGAAACGTTTTATTAATATTTACTTGAATGCAATATGCATTCCTCTGTGTGTAGATAACGGTCGAGAACTACAATTTTTCACTCCAACTATAAATTTCGTTATCGATCAAAGTTTTCAACAAGAGAACGTGCGCTACAACTATAACGTTTAATGTCAGGCAAAATTTACATCTCGACGTAGAAACCCGGACGTATCGTCTTAATAGGCGTAATATCGAGAGCAAGTTTAGCGTAAGACGCCCGCCGAGTGAATTTATAGCCGTGTCATCGGCACATCTACAGCTGCTTTTGACTCGTCGTAATTAGTAAAGTGCCACGTCGGAACGTATCTCGTTGAACTCGAGAGCTTCGTAACTCAACAAGGTTTCTAGACAGCGCATCTTTCCTGTCTAGATGGTCGTCGCCGATACGCAGCCTTCTTTCACGCTTTCTTCGTGGTTTTGCATATTTCTACAAAGAGAACGCGGCCACCGAGCGATCGCGCGAAACATTCAGGAACGATGCGATTTAATTGAATTCGCAATCGCTGTGATACGCGTATAATTTATTCATGGCGTACGTTAAAGTGAATGACAAAGCGAAATTACAACGTTAACATCGACCGTCACGCGACATTCCGCCAGTGATAAAATTAAACGACGAATGCACTGCGGCGGAACATAAGAGAGAAAAAAGACGCGATGAGCTGCACGAAGTGCATAACAAATCAATTGCGTCACGGTTTTTCTCACGAACGATGCATCGTCACGCGAAATTCTGCCGTTATCCTGACGGTTTTCCCGGACTTTCGCTGATTTTTCAGACTCGCGGCAGCGAGCCCGACGGAAAAATAACAAGAAAAGAAACATCATAAGCTATTCAGGGCGCGCGTAGTAACCCGATTACGTCAGAGTTGTTCTCATATTCTGATCGCAATCGTGACAACGGCGCCTCCCACGACTCGCGATCGCGACGCGTTGCTAAATGTCGTTCGGGCAAACTTTAACGAGCGGGTAAAGTGTGGAACTATGCGCGTCTCGAATCCGACACTGTCGCTGTAAACTACTCTTGGCACGCGAAGCCGGAATGAAGCGGAGCGTGAGCGAGAAGATGAGCGCGCGCATTCGCCAATGGAGTCGATATTCCTCGTTCTTTGTGCACGATAAAGATGATAATGCTGCTGAGACTCCGACATGTCTCGGGGCTAATCTACATGTTATTGGGCAGGTATAAGTTGCCGGTTGCAACGGTGGGCGGTCCGCGGAAATGGAAACCGTGGAACAATGTTTTCTCTTAATCATCCATGCGTGTACGTGTACGCTCGTATGTTTTATTTGTGTTTATCAAAATTGTGTAAAAATATTATCTGTTTTTACACACAGAATCTCTCCCAGCGCAAGAGATTCTGTATTATTTCTTTGTAAAAATAGAGAAAGAGAGAGAAAGAGGAACTCTCGTTTTGTGCGCTTGAAAAAAAGAAAATAAAAGAAGAAATAAATCGCGTTGTTCTTGAGGATACACAAGTGTTGCGATGAGCTCAGAATCGCTTGGTGTGATAATATTGTGAATATACAATATTCACCTTTTGCGAAAATTACGTATTACTTCACTGTCAATTAATCGCTGCTAAGCGCACTGTTTACCAATGCACGACGCGCCTCGTAACACGGCCGCGTTTGCTGACATTACGTTGTGGTATTACATTAAATTAAATTATCCATACATTATGCATCAGCACCAAAGGCAAAATTATGGAGGAACAAGCGCGTAGCCCGCAGCAAAACCCCTCAAGCACAATGATCATTATTATTGCAGATCCGCCTTACGTAATGACATGAAAAGCCCTTTGAGACGAGAGATAATATGTTAATCCCGATGTAGATTGTAACTCGAGGTACCCACAGGTCCGGACTCGTCCGCGCATCCTCTTGCATACTCAGATATGCGCTTACAGAACGATGAAATTTTTGGAGATATGAATGAAACACGACACAGCATGTTTTGTATCATTTACTAACGCGAATTTTACTCAATTTAATTTTATTCTATTTCATATTCTATATACGTTTCAAAGTAAATTCTCATAGTTTCGCATTTGAAATTATTATTCTCGTGAGAACTACGCGACCGATCAGAGAAACCTCTCCTGTACGGAAAGAATTAATTTTGTAATAAAAATTACTAGAGGATGTTGTAACTGAGGGACAAATCAACATTCCGCAGTACTTCATTAAGCTTTCATTTCACATGTGCTACTTATAGAAACTGAAGCGTGCTATGAAAACACTTGTTATATTTCTAGCGAAATTTACTACATTCTTTAGTAAGATAAACTTTATATATTGTGTTGTGACAGTTTATTACTAAACTACTAAAATAATAGCAAAAATTTAAAAAAATTTATATAAAAAAAAGAGCTGTAATATTCTCTGCGTGTATAGCTGTTATTTTTCTAACGTCGCTTATGAGATAGTCAAAGAGTTAAATAATATAAAGGTAAGCCGTGTCGCCTGGTAAAATGAAAACGCCATGAGAGGGAAATGTTGCGTAACGAACGATCTGTCGTGTTACTAATGAAGCAAACTACGACTCTCCTTTCGGTTTTCAGCGCTTGCACGGCAATGATACACTGTACAAGGATGATATCATTTCCCCTATCATATCGCCCGGTATAACAGCGCGAGATAATCGGACAGACGCGACACAAGAGAGAACCATGCCCTTCAATGCCGAGAACTAATAATACAACTCGCGGAGTTTCGGCGACACACGCGTCTCTTTCCGCCTCGTGGGAATTTCCCGCTGCACACGTCCGTCGTCGTTACCTCCATAATTCATGTAGCCAACGACGCAGTCCCAACCGCGGATATTCGCGTATAAATGATACTTTTGGGCAATGATCACGTCGTCGCGAAATTAAACGAGATCTACTCGAAACCGACGGTGCGATTTAATAAGCACGAAAACGAGCAAGAGAGCTTATGGCTTCGATAATTTGAACACAAAAAGATTCGCGGTCTTCTGTTCATTGTTCGCCGGAAGAACGCCTCTCCGTTTCAACAAAGTCAATTTCAAAGCTCTCGTATATCTCAAACTCGTCGGATCTCTTTCCTCTCTCATATCTCGCAAAAAAGAAAAGAGAAACCATACTCGATGTTTCAAAGAACAAATTGATACGCCAAGCGTAACGAACAATTACACACTCGCTATTACGCCCGTATATTCGGCCGGAAAAAGAATCGCGCGCCGAGCGCTAATTAGCGCGCCGCAATCCCGCTGCGACAATACCGCGCGCGCGTGTTAACATCCGTCCGTCTGTCCGTCCGATGATCGAGCCGGCTATTCTTGCAGACGCGCGTTAACGTGCGCGCGCGGACCCGTCCGTCAAACATTTGGCGAACCGGAATTTCGGTCGCACCGATCAAATTATTCCGGGCGCAGCTTTTCGCCATTTGAATAACAATAAATGGGCGAGCACACGTAGCGCGCGTATACGCTCGCGACGTACCTTTGTGCGAGCCCGAAATTGGGCGAAGAGCGGGCAGCCGCTGGACACAACCGGAAGGGAGAAGGGGGCGAAGAGAATATATACGAGAGAGTATATCGATGCCGCACGCGGTGACGCGCCGCGCTGGGCCGCGCCACGTTGAGCCACACCGCGCCGCGCTGCGCTACGCTGCGCCACGCCGGCCGGCCGGAAGCAGGACGCGCTAATTGAACCGTTTTGTGTATCGTTCATACCCGACACCGGGCCGAATTTAACGGCCGATTACGCGCTACGCCACTGAACAGGAACGTAATATCTCGTGCGTGCATACCGCGCGTCGAATGAACGAGCGGCGGCGGCGGCGGCGTCGCTCGCTTCTCGCGCGCACTCGTAAATTCGATCCTTTGTTTCATCGCGTCAAAGAAGGCAGGATCACGCGCCAGCCGCCACGCTCGCATTTAATCGCCGGTCCCCGCGTATCCATAACGGCGCGTAGGTTCTTTAATTATTCGTCTCGGGCCCGATTGCGTTTTCTCTCGCCACTTCAAAATTAATTCTCTCCGGCCGGAAGGAGTGTGACTCGGTCTCCGCGAGTCTGGCTTTACGGCCCGTTGTAATTTTTATGATTCGCGCCGCCAGCAAGGATCGTTAAATAGTCGTTGTAATGTTTTCGGAGGGCATCTATACATTCATCATATTTTTAACTACTGTCTTAAATTACGCGTCGTTACCTGAACTATCGTAGTGTCAAGGGAATGAAATCAAATAGAGGAAGTGGGAAGTCCAGATTTCACGGTAGCTTATACAGCAAAATGAGAAAAATTATATTAATTTATTTCAAATATTTCTTTGATTTATTTCAAATATTTCTTTCATTAACATATTTAATTAAATATGTATTCTTTTTATTTAAACCAAATATTGTTTATTTAAATCAAGTAAACAATATTTAATTTAAATAAAGAGAATATAGATTTAAATACGATTTTACGATTCTAATATTTTAGAAGGATAAGGAAAAAGGATATTTGTTGATTTTAATATAATTTTTCTCTCAGTGTATATTCCTAAACAGCAATTATGCAAAATTCGGCTCGAATCGATCAAAGGATTTTATAGGGAACAGGCAGGCAGACATTGTATTATATATATATATATATATATATATATATATATATATATATATATATATTGATTCGCGTGACTATATAATAAACGTTTGCAGTTCCAATTCGCAATAAAATTTATAATTATCATTTTAGATTGTAAGTCACACGCGGTGCGTGTGCGCGCATATATCTAACGATACCGTCGATCAAAAGTACAGGGCTCGATATATGCCGTTTGCGAATCGTTACGCGCTGACGTTTGAAATATGTAAAAGTCGGATTACCAAAGTTACGAACCATCCCCAACCCCGATCGTGGGTCACCACACGAATGAACGTTTAATGTGCATTGACAGCTTTTTCGTATCGGCGAGAATTATCATATCACATCATAAAATGTCAAATCGTCGCATTATCAGCTGCACGAAACGTTACTCGTGTAATTATGATAATGAATGCGAGATACTAGTTACATTAATAATATAATGTCCGAAATACTAACGCACCGTACGGCCGATATATAAACCAGTTCGCTCGCGTGTGCGATTACGCGCGCTTGTAAATGTAGGTAGATGTACGCGTGTCACACAAAGCACGTCGCTTTGATATTGTGCAAGCCGCATTGCAAGCGCGACGAATTAATTTACGATGAACTGTCAATAAAGGAATATCACAGAATATAACCAAATCAAGCAAACGAAGCGAACACCATCGGAATTTAAGTCATGGGCGTTATCCGATAATTTTGACACAACAATGTGCATTCAACATCAATAACATTAATTACTTAATCAGTCATTACTTGCTTACTCTCCTCGTTATTTTGTACGATTTTACGACTCTAATATTTTTGAAAAAGTTTGAAAAAGCGAAAAACAAAATACAACGAAAGGATCAGGAGATATACAGTAATAGATGAGGCCGGATATATGGATACTTTTTTTTCTGTTTCTCCTCGGCTTTCGCGAAGATGTATTATCTCGGAACGAGACAGCTTGTATATCGCAAATATATATATCGAAAATTGCAACAAACCGCATATAAAGCACCGCTCTGTTTAAATAAATCGCTTCTCCTCTCCACCGCAATCTATCAGTGCGCCTCAGCCGTCGCACCTTCGCACGCTGGATAATTTATTGCAGTGTGCATCGGTGCCGCCAACAATATAACCAATCTGATGCGTACAATGCAGTGGCCGATGCGCCAATAAATATGGATGGAGTAGTAATAAATTATGGCTGGAAAAGACGATTAGAGAGGACGCGGCTATAAATTGCCACAGATATATCGCAAGCGCGGTTTACGACTGTGCCTTATGGTGCCTCTCCCTATCCTTCCCATACATGTCCGATAATATGGATATTTTTCGACCTTTAATCCGTTTACCTGCGAATATTCGCAGCCGCGTATTCGTTTTGAGCTCGTTCGTTTGGATTACGACAGCCTCGCCTCCTCGCGATATCGCTCTTATCGGTAAACACAAAATTCCGATAATAACGTAACTTTTCCCGCCGAATTTGTACACGTCAAATGTATTTTTTAGTAGTATAAACAAAACGTCGCAAATTCGCACATTTTTATTTATCGGCGAGCTCATTGCTAGTATATAGTTTCAAAAAAGGCTTATTTCTGTCAAAATTAATGAACTTTTATAACATTACTACGACCTCATATAAAGACTTTCTATTACGATTCTATTACTTTTTCTACAACACGATGGATAAAATATGGTATATAATCTATACATGAACGAAAAATTTAAAAGAACAATATTAACTCGTAAAATAAAAACCTACTTATATAAGCTTCTTTGAATAAATTCCTCTTTAAAAATGATTGACCTAATTCGAAATTTTCTTGATATTCTAGAAATATTGGATTTTTCTTAAGAAATTTTCCTTGGAAAATAATGGTGGATACTAATAATAGTATTATATTCTGCATTTGCAAAAACGACGAAGCATAAGATAAATATAATACGAATAAAAAAAAATTCCTTCGAGCCGGATTTGAACCAGCGACCTATGGATATCTTTCATCAAACCGACTACAGTCCACCGCTCTACCAACTGAGCTATCGAAGGCTATGCGAGGGACGTGAAATTTAACCTTCAGAAAGAATCGTTAAACGTGTTTTTCATATTATCTAAATTTGTTCGTTTTCGATAAACTTCTGCACTAGTGCAATAAATTAGAGTAAAATAAATATACTTTTTTTCACTTTAACTCATTGCATTAGTTCAAGAATTCTTCGAAAATGAACAGAACTTCTGTCTGTGCAAGATATCGCGTAGTGGAAGGGGGAGGAATATCGCAATTCCGTCAGCGCAAATGATCTAATATGAATACGATACCATTACAAAGTGTACATGTAATACGAGTAAATGTATTTGTTAGTGGATTATCAAGTTTCTGCGAAGCAATCGGATATTGCGGCATTGAACTAGACACGCTCAACTTATCATCACGAAGTATGCGTCTTTTTTTGCATTGCACATGCATTATACGCGTCGTCAACCATGCGTGCAATGACAAATGTTAATTACATTCGTATACGTTCTAATTATCCAGCGAATCGCGGGGACATCTCGCAAGAGCTCTTCCTATAACGAGAATTTATCGCGACGAAGAATATTCATTTTGAAATCTCAAATCAATTCAATTTTCTACCGAATTGTATAACGAATCATTTTACGACACTCGTCACTCACACGCGCGGGCACGCGCACACACATTTGATCGCGACAGGACGACAGGTAAAGTTAGGTTATAAATACGAGCAGCCGAATTGATGCTGATACGCGTACGCAACGGTTCCATGAACCACTTGAGGAATACGACGACGACGAAGAACAGAACAGCGAGATAAAGAGACTGTCACGCGAAAACATGATCACGCTACTACACTTATTCTTACAAAACGTTACGAGATAACCTCAAAAGTGACTCACCGGAGACGCTGTGTCCGCTGTCAATCGTCGTCTCCGAGCTGCTCGTCACCGAATGTGGAATAGTCTTGCGGAAGCAAGTCGTCACATCGCATCACCTCCGTGAAATAGCCGTGACAGTCTCGCTGCACTCTCCCGTCCACACATATCACGCGTCACGTCAAAACACGCACAGACACTTCGCGACCTCTGAGAGAGTCCGGCGCGCGCGTAAGACAGTTGGTCACTTAGCCGCATGATGGCGTAAGTGACTGCGCGCCGGTGGCGCGTAACGCCGCTCTGTTATTCACTTCGAACCGAAGGATACGACGGCGTATTCCATTTCCAAGTCAGATCTCTTTCGACTGATAAATATCTCACTTGAGAACTTGAGCACAGTATCTCGCCCGCTCAAACAGTTATATTTTTAGGCTATAACACGACGAACGCTCGATGCTTTATTCGGCACTTCCGACTGACCGTTTCACGAAATATTCGGCGACATTTTAACGATATTTTGTCACGGAAAACGCACGGAATTTACTTTCGGCTCTCCCAACGACGATTATTCGCGCGCGAGAAAATAGGCTCGACGAGCTGATTTCGGAGTCGCCATTACGTGACGATCGCGCGACAGCTCGATCCACGAAATATCCACTTTCAGCGACTGTTAAACGATATTTTAATATAACCGAGGTGCAAATCTTACTTTCAGCACTCTCAAAGGTAATAAATCAAGCACGAAACTCACCTTTGGCGAGCCGAAATCGCAGAAAATACGGAGTTGTCTCTCGCGAACACCTACTGTGCGCCGCGACCGTTCCGTGACTAACGACGTAGTGCTTGAAATACTCGAAATATCTTGATTCGCGCGCGACTTCACGCGGCACCTCCAACTGTCCTTCCGCCATATATACTTATACTGCGACAATTATTAATGAGATTTTGTAGTGATAAACGTACCAAACTTACGCGCTGTCGGCGACGATAATTTAGACTCGGCGGTAAAAAATGTAAAATGCAACAATTTGAACTTGGAACCGTTGTAACACTACTAACGCCACGATCGTACTATTTTGGGTGCGATCCATTAGATAAGCAAACGCTTAAAGAAAAGCTATGATTGGCAACACAAAGCACTCACTCAAAGCATTTGTACCATCTAGTGAATCCTGCTCTTTATTAACTTCTTTCAGCCATCTCTTTCGCGGGTTACTCACTCTTAGTGACCATGTAACGATTTTTAAGCACGAGAATCGTACGAGCCTACTTGTGGATATTTCCAGCGACAATAAATCGCGCACAACGTTCTTTGGCGAACCGAAATCGCGAAAAGTATGGAACGATTTAATGTGAATCCGACTGCCGTACCACGATTCATAACTGGACTGAACATCGCAGTGATTGAGTTTCTTGATGCAATGATGTATATCGATACACTCGATATGGCAAGATATTTCACAAAACTGGTGAAACAGATAAAATCCCGATCTAGCCACCGCTAGATAAAAACAAACTTATTCGAATATAATATGTAATTTTCTTTGAATATACTTTGTATTAATTAAATTTAATAATAATAAATTTAATAATTTAATAATTTAAATTTAACAATTTAATATTGAATAATACTTGTAAAACTGTTGGTTCTTTTTGTCAATTACGACTGCATTTCGATATTCAATACTGAATATCAATACTGACTATCAATACTGAAAATCTATAGTATACGTGACATGAACTATAAATTTTCAGTATTGACAATGAACTATATAGATCTGTGCAGTTTCAAATACTCGTGACGACATCTATCAAGCAGAGCGTGAATCTGATCGCGATAATCTATTCTTGAATGTCGACGCGCGTTCATCAGCTCTCACGTTACTTTCATTTTGACAACATTTATATGTTGCGTAAATATACGTTCTATGATGATCTCGCCGTATTGCTGTGTCGCGATCAAGACGTTTTCCTCACGGCTGAACGCGCTTCATATTCGCTTATCAGATTTACCCGATGTGAAAGAACACGTGCGACATTATCTCGACGATGAACGCCCGAATCCTTCGTCGTCAGTAAGGAAAATTCTATCTAAACTAGACGCAACGTAACCTCTACAGTAATCCAGCTCGACTGTTCATTGACAGCAAGTTGTTGATAACAAATCTTCTTGTGATTTGTGTTTGATTGTGCAAACGCGACGCAAGGCAAAATTTAATTGCGATAATTAGACGTTAAAATGAATGTCGAAGTCTCACGGCATGATCTCTGAACGCCGAAGGATGCGAACGGCGCAAAATGGAGCAGATAGAGACGAATAGAGACGTAATAGAGACGAATTTGTTAAACCAAGATGAACAAGTGAAGAAAGGAGAGTCATGGCTAATAGCTCAGACTGTAGGTGAAAACCAACAGCAGCAAGCACAAAATACACCCATATTCTACAAGTTTGATGACAACATGGGTAAATTTTAAATCATTTTTGCATGAAGTCTTTTCAAAGAATAAATCTATAATCAGATTTTTACTATGTTTATCACAAGAGACATTTACCACTATTTCTTTATTCTATTTAGTACCAACAAGTGAAGTGAATGAAATGTCAGCAAATACAAAGTGGTGGAAAGACACATCTACAGAGGATGTAAGATTGACATCGGAACCTGAAACAATAATTGTAGAAACTTATCCATTAATAGGTGCATTTTATATCATTTCAAAATGTGTAAAAATTTACTTTTTTATCAATTTATCTTATCTTTTAAAACACTATAACTATTATTACATACTATAATATTGATAACCTAATTATAAAATGATAACTGCTTTTTTATCATGTAGTTGTAATCGAATAACAAGTATCTGATTGTTTTGCAGAACATACTGCAGACACACAATCAACCGATTTATCTCAAGATCCATTAATGCTGAATAATGTTTCTACGAAAGAATCCACAAAAAAATTAATAAAATGTAAACAGAAAAAAGTGAAATCATTAAAAGAATCTAAACAATCTGTAAAACGTACAAAGCATCCTGAGAATTGGAAAGTAAACGTAAAGAAAAATGCTAGATTAAGAGGAGAGGAATATATTGGAGTTGGAGGTAATTATTGAATGGATATGAAATAAATAAACATATAGTGTACCAGGTAGACAAAATATAAATAACAATATTAACAATGTTTATGCTTTGTTTTACTTAGGTAAAATAGTGCCAGCTAAAACAATGGGACCACCTTGTAATTGTCGCATGCACTGTGCAGATAAGATAGACGAGGACGAGCGCGAGAAATTGCACAAAGTGTTCTGGAAAACGTGCACATGGGAGCAGCGAAAGCAGTATATCGCGCTCTCTGTCAAAGAGTCCCCAAAACAGCGTACTCGTTGTCGCGGCAACGTCAAAACGGAACATCGCCGGCAGGTGACATTTACTTATTCTCTCTTGTTGAAAGGTGAATTTATCACCGTGTGCAAGTCCATGTTTCTCAGTACGTTCGCGGTATCAGAGAAATTCGTGCGTCACGTGATGGATAAGAAACGCACATCACCAGGTGGCATTATAGGACCAGATCAGAGAGGTAGGCATACACCGAAAACGAAGAAAAGCGAAGATGTGAAAGATCGTGTGCGCGAGCACATCAAATCCTTCTCGACGGAGATATCGACAGATCCTAAAGATCATACTGGTAAACGATATCTGGATTCGAGATTGAGTATTGCTGCAATGCACAAGTGCTACGTTTTCAAGTGCAAACAAGAAAGTGTGCCCGAGAGTGATATAGTGAAGGAGAGTTATTACAGAGAAATGTTCAAGACAGAATTTAATCTCGGATTTAAACGTATGCAAACTAAAGAGAAGAAAGTGCTGCCGAACATTAGTATGAGTGAACAAGTATGTGAGGAACAGATTCTCTAGTTATACAACGAAATTGTTAACATCAGCTTAAGTTCAACTTAAGCTGAACACTATAAATTTATTAACATAATATTTATAAATTTGTTACACGCAGCTATGTTTTAGATATTCTAATTAATTCAAGGACGTTCAAAATATTTACATTAGATAATAAAATGCCATTGATCATACAGTGCCAACTTGCATTCTCACAGTATGCACCAATGCACACGCATAATATACATTATATGTACATTACTTTTTTTATAGTGGAATTTTGAGTTTTTTATTACTTTTTAACATTGATCATTATCTTGCTATATTTTTTATAAATATGAATTACATTGCATAAAAATTGCAATTATAAAAATTATTAAAAGAAACGGAAATATAATCATCAATAATATTAGTGACAACTCAATAAAAATGAAATCTCTAATATTTATATCTCTTGGCACATAACAGTACTCTTCGTTATTTCAATTTTTCAATAGATATCTACATTTACGTGTCATTCTTCAACATTAATGTTAGCGATGCGACTATTGTGTAATAATATTACTTTTATTATTGTCATGGAGTATCTTCATAATTATCTTTACTTCTCTTCGTTCTGTGAACTAACTTCTCTACATCGAAGCGTTGCAGTTTCCACAGCACCGATTAGCGCTGATCTCAAACCATGCTGCTCTAAATAATGAATGCCAGCTATGGTACTCCCTGCAAGAAAATGAAGACAAACGTGTACCAACTGTAAAAAAATCAAATAGAAGTCACTTTACTGCTATAAATTCTGACCTGCCGGCGAAGATACGTCATCTTTAAGCTGACCTGGATGAAGATTCGTCTCGCGAATCATAGTACCAGCACCTAGAACAGTTTGTGCAGCGAGTTTATATGCAATAGGCCTAGTAAGGCCCATTTTTACACCGCCGTCCGCTAACGCTTCGATTATCATGTACACCTGGAAAAGGCACGGTTCCCGCTATTTTAGCAAATTTTCTTTAAATATTTCAACAGGTAAAAACAATTATTTTTTTATACAAAAGTGTGTAAGATTTGTATAGAAATTTTATAAAATCTTTTTTTGTGCTTATACACAAAAATAGTAAAGATCTTGTGACAATGTTAACAGAACTTGAAAATAGTTACTAACATAGGCAGGACCAGAGCCAGCCAAGGCGGTGACAGGATCGATGAGATTCTCCTGGATTTCTTCGCAGAAACCTACGGCGGAAAATAGTTTCTCCGCGATTTCAGCCTCTTTATCACCGGCATGCTTTCCACGAGTATACACTGTAGCGCCACAACCCACCAAAGCCGGCGTATTTGGCATTACCCTTATCACGGGTGTTCCTTCTGGAAGTGCCTGAAACAAGAAAGTCTCATTTTATTTTATATATTGCGCAACTATATATAACAGGAATAATTCAACAAGAAAGTTAAATGTGGCATTCTTCGCTTATCGTAGATAACAAATGTAGATATGCAAATGTTGGATGTTTTTCCGGAAAATTTTATAACTACTAAATGACCACCGATAAGAATGCCACAGATATGCGATACATCACATCCGTCTTCGCTGTGAACATGATGGTGCGTTTTCTTTTACAAGTAGTTTGTAAAGCTACGTATGATATTAATAAATTTTTTTTCTCAATAACAGAATATTACCTTTTCTAATGATGCTAAGGGGATACCCATGGCGATGGAGATAAGTAATTTCTTATTATTTTTCAACTCTGGAAGAACTTTTGGAACAATTTGCGGCTTTACCGAGAGGATTAAGATATCCCCATAATCGACGACAGGACCATTAGTGAATACGGTATTTGATCCTATTTCCTAGAAACATTTATATATAATTGATTGATTGTATCCGGAATAGGTATTTAACAGCATATTTGATTTATGGTACAATATTTCCCATCTAAAAACTGAAATCTGCTATGTGAAGTAGAAGTGAATATTTCGTATAATTCACTATATAACTGTATAACTGTTTCCATATAACGAATACATGTTACTTGACTAAGTGCATTAGATGCGTTTCGTATAATCAATATAACTTTTAACTAAATATATAAATACTGTCAATTATTTTATGCATACTTTTCCCTATAATAAGCGCGTTTAAAGAAATACATTATACATTATACATTTAAAAAACTTTATATATTAAGCAACTATACATAACAGGAATAGTTCAACGAGAAAGTTAATCGTAACATTCTTCGCTTATCGTAGATAACGTATGCAAATGTCGAATGTTTTTCCGGAAAATTTCATAGCTACTAAATGACCACTGATAAGAATGCAACAGGTATGCGATACATTACGTCTTATCGCGCCATTGTTTAATAAACATTGATTGAAATTGAACACACGATTTAAAGTGTATATATACCGCGAAAACGAAAAACACAAAAATAAAAACACAATACACAAAAACAAACAAAAACGAACATCGAATGTTTACAAATTTTCTACAACATTAGCTGCATTTAGCAGAGAAAATTGCTGTGCAACTATTGTAAAATTCGTAAATCTAATTGGTATATGCTTTTAATTTTAACTGAATCTAAAAGCATACATTAATTAGATTCACGAATTTTACAACAGTTGCAAATTAGTTCTCTTTTCTGAACGCAGCCATTAACCAATTTTAATAATATATACATTTAATTAAATCGCCGCAATGATTCAACGATACATGCAAAATAACGCCGATTATATTTTATTATTGTATTTTTATACAAATTCACTTAAAATTCACTTGTAAATTCACTTGTCGTCCCTGAACTTTCGAGAAACATGTTGCAATGGGAAAAAGTCACGTAACGTGTAAATATTCTCTTTCTTTATGAAATATTTCTGAAAAGCTATACGTAATACATGATACGTTAAATCCTCGATTCATGATAGCAAATTACTCATATCTTATCATCTGAAGGGCATTCGCTTATCGAACACCTCTTTATAAACAAGAAGAACGTCGTTCGATTCACTTAATATTTTATGATATCATCTCACCTTAAACGTCTCTATACTTCCCGTATCGTTGGGGAGACAACTTGCCAACATCATTTCGCCCTTACTTAAACCTACAAAACAATAACAATTCACGCTTTAGTTTTACCATAAAAAGGAATAGATGTGAGGAATATTCCGGCGAAGTTTCCTTGTTCGAGTATTCAGATTACGCATTTATAAAAAGAAATATTTACCCGCTCGTATGAAACCCTTCGCGAGTGCTTGGGCCATCTTTCCTCCACCGAGAAAACCGATTTTCAACATGTTCGTATTAATATTCAACGATGTTCTTCTTTTTTTCACCTCACCGTCCGCAAGAAGTTGATCACTCACTACCGAATACAGAGAAAGAAAAATTACCAATCTCAATCTGCACTATGCATATTAAGTTGCCACAGAGGTTTTTATGTTCTTTTGTATTTAATGTCTCATCGAGACTCGCGACCTGTCATTACATTGTCTGCGTATATTGAAATTTTTAGATGTTAACTATGTCATAATATTTTTCAAACATTACAGATGATATTTCAACTTCATAATATAAAAAAATCTACAAAAATCGCATTAGCAATCTAATGAAATGGTGGAAGAAAACGAGATTACGAAGGAAGAACTGACATGACTTTATTAATTACACGGATTGCATCGTGTGACACTCGACAAATAGATCTCAACAGTTTCCTATTCCGTGACACGAACGACTGGATTACCCGACTCTCGCGAGCTGCTCTCGTTCGTTCCAACGCGATCTAACTGCAGCGATGCACTCGTAGCTTTAAAACACTGGTACGATAAGGCAACGACTAAAGATTATAATTTTTACACGACAAGTACATCAACCTGACGTTCGCAGAACGATAATCGTATAAATAATGACGACTTTTTACTACGCAACTCTCGCTTTTTCTCGCATCACTTTGCGCGATGAAAATACTTTGTATTTTTGTGTATATATCGCACGAGATAATAGTAATCGTATTGGATGTTGACAGAAAATATTAGAAGTATGATGCAAACTGCCGCGCCTTCTCTTTCTGTCTCTCTCTCTCTGTTTTGACTGACGATCTCGTTTCATAATGTATTCAAATTTACTTAAAATACTCTGGAGAGAATGCAACTTCTGCGATTACAAAAAAAAGTGTTGTCAGCCTCGCCACAGTGACGCATGAATAACGAACTTTGTACATTCGCGGATGTTTATGACCAAGAAATAAAATATTGCCGTCCGCGGTCTGTCATCTTAGTTCAAGAACATAAGCAGCAGACTATAAACTTAAAGAAAAAAAGTATATCGATTCTTTCATCACTTATATTATTTTCGAAATGATTAGTAATACGATTTGTCTTTGTAGCAATGTAAAAGTAAAATTAGTCGATATTTCACTCACGAATTTATGAATTTTATATATTTTATGTAATAATACTATAAAAGAGGAGACACACGAGCCGATATATACTGTTGATATTAAGCTTAATCCGAAAAGAAATTGGATAATTTAAATAATGACTTTAGGCAGATATCCTAGATAATTAAAGTAATCAAAGGCGTGGAGGTGAATAGAAATAATTATATAAAAAGAAAAACTGAGATTAGCAGAGTTATAAGAAATAAGGAAAGACGAAGCATAGTTAACAGTATCAGGTAGTAAGTTGAAAAATCCTACTGTATATATAAAGAAGCATTTAAAAATTTTATTCTTTCATGATACTCCTATAAATCTTCTTTGAATAGCTTATATATTTATTTGTGTTTATTTGTGGCGTGAACAAACGAATTAAAAGACAAGATAAGAGAAATAAATAATCGACTTTTAGGAGAATTTAAATTTAAATCTTTTATGTATACGTTATCCGATAGCGTAATGGAAAATACATGGTTTATGTAAATCGCGCATGAGAATATCGAATGATTAGAATTTTAGAATCAGAACAGAGCATTACTCACCATTGCGTACATTTAAACTCCGCCGGACTCGGCGGCTCAATCTGATTAAACCCATTGTCTTTAGACCAACGGTCATCCTTTGTTTTGTTAGATTAATATAATAAATAAATAATATCTCTAAGCTCAATGAGCAAAAGGGAATGTTTATTCAATAGCTTTCCTTCTTTTTGTAGAATCCAAATCTCTGTAGAAATTCTGAAAATAATTATGTAATATGTGATGTTACATTTATAAAATCACACAATACAAGATGAATTTATTATATAAATTTTATATATATATATATATGTTTGTGTAAGTAAATCAAGAATGATATAAATATTAATAAGATATTCGTCTTATTTCAAATTGTATGCCAAGGTAGTTTGGAAAGGAATTCAAACAAATTCTAAAAATAATTAAAAAAATAGATGTGTGTGTGTGTGTATGTATCATTCATACATATATAATATATATTACATTTTTAGAATCATGTGATTATATCATACTTTATGTGATAAAATTTTATGTGTAACATGTATCATGTTTTATGACTCTTAATGATTAATTGATATTTGTCCCTTAATCTAAATATAAGCGTATCACAGCGTTTTGCAAGACTACGATTGCCGACTACAACTATCGCATACAGATTTTATTGCAGCATTCACGATGCGTAGCATCAATGATGTCTCTATTATATCTTATCAGCATATAGTGGATCGATTAATTCGGCCTAGTAGTTAATAACGGGTAGCCCAACTAAAACGCAAAATCAAGTTGAAACACTTACATGTTCGCATCGTATACAGATTCGATGACGGGCGTCGATGGCATGCGTGCGCCAGAATGATACTCGAACAGCTGATCGCACGTGATGTCAATTGTAATCGATGCAGTATTCCGGACTACGTTTGCTTTCGTTGACAATTTTATCACTACATAAGATGATTTTCGGTCATCCTTATATAAGTATCTACTCGTTCACATATCAAAACAAATACGATTACAGTAGGGCTATCTGGTGCGGAAAACTACCAACGAGTCACCGTCCCCACCTTGATATCATTCGTGATATCGTAAACTTTAAAATCAAGAGTGGCTAATTTTATCAAAAAATGTATAACTTAGGGACTCGTGAAAAACTCGGATACACTCGTTAGTATCGAAATTACAATTTTACAATTACATACCAATTACAAAGTCGGATTTATATGTAAGGTAAACAAGCTGGGATCGGTTGAAATTTACGTAAAAAGTACTCAATAATTTATTTCTGATCTAGATTTAACCAGTTATTGTTTGGCAGAAGGAGAAAGATTTGATTCGTGTTACGCAATAAACTTTAATCTGCCACGGATTATTTGATTGTTAGAGATTACGTTCTTATCGCGAGAAATGGAAAAATTAAGTATCTACTGATTCTTTTCAATCTTTTATTGAAAAAAAATATCTTAATTCAACGTTACGTTCTATTTTCTTTGCAAATTTGCAATACAGAATAGTGTGCTGTAAGCTCGATACTTAAATAATATCGACATGGACAATGATTGCATTCCTATGTGAATTTCTAGCGAACGTACAGATGCCGCTGAGAGTACTGCAGCGAGATGCAATCCAATTATTTTACCTTATCTAAATCGCGATTTACATGATACAGTTTGCGAATGGCAATTAAATTTTATTGTTGCTCAAGATCTGATCAATACGGAGTGAAAAAATACGCTTAGGTCTGGTTGCACCAACATTATTTTGGCTTTAAGCGAAACTTAAATATATATCTATCTTTATCTTTCTTTCTAAATAAATAAAGACAGACACATATTTAAGTCTCGCTTAAAATCAAAATAACGTTGGTGCAACCGGGCCTTAGTTAGCTAATACTTGAAAGTTTCGCGGCAAAAAATTGTACGCACTGTATCGAAATACATTAAAGAATTTACGAAGTAAATTAATGAGGATTTTATCAAGAAAATCCTTCACGCAGTACATAATACAGTCCTTTCTCTTAGTTGAACTTTGCAGAATACTCGAGCACACTTTTTGCCTTGCGCTATATAAACGCTCTTCCGTTAAACTCAGCTGCATTTATAACTGTTCCTCAGTCTACATAACTTCGAAATAACTGCTCCTAGAAGATAGAAAATCTAAGAATTAAGGCACCGGCAATATATATTGTTTGTCTCAATAACTACGATATCAAAGCAAAAACAAATATTAGATAAAGATAACTGAATTTATCAATATATATATGTGCGCGTACATTATATCATAAATAATCACGAAATAAAATGAATCGCATTTTATATCGCGTTATCGCATTAGTGTGAAATATAGTTACAGGGTCGGTTTATCCAACCTAACTAAGCTAACTAACAGTTAAATCTTATGTCTGTTTCTACCTAATTTAAAGGAGAAACAAAGACAGACGTATGAGTTAACTGTTAGTTAGCTTAGCAAGAAGTTGGAAAAACCGGCCCTAAGACTCGTATTTCAATTTAAAACTAATGGAAGAGGATAGGTGTTCGTATCATTCAATTATCGAATATAATTTAGCTTCTACTTAGTTTTGTAATGTTAATATTTTTTGCCCTTTCAGTCGTATTTATATTAAATAAATTTAAAAAATCACAATGATTGTGCCAGAAAACAAATAGATCTATACGGCTTAGCGAGAACGGCAATTTATTTGGACTAAAAAAAATGTTTTCAAAGCATATTCTCTGGCCTGTGTATCTTTAATGCTGGTATCAGTACAAAGACTATAAAGATTGCACGAATAAGCACAAGTCCAAATGAGAGTTAACCACGACTTCCCACACAACACGCGTGTTTAAAAGACATCTTAAAGACGTCTTCTGCGATTCTAATATTTTATAATGATAAAACACGTCTAATAACACATCATAAATTATCAGGATAATTTGATAAAAAGATACTTTATATTATATTATATTATATTTTGTCCGCGAATCCTTTTTAGAGCGGATATTTTTCACACAATCTTATTGCATGATAGGTCATTACATATTTTAAATAAATAGCCACTGAATACTATGAGCCATGTTTGTATTAAACTATCTTAAAGTTATTTAGTATAAAAAAGAAATACGTGACTCTATAATGTATTTACAATAACTCGGTTGTTTTTTTACTGTGTTCTTTGTACTCAATAATTACGAGAAATATTGGGATAAACATAAAGTCGGCTAATTAAAGTTTATAACACTTAATTAGCTGACTACACTATAATTTCATATATATAACCAGAGAGAGAGAGAGAGAGAGAGAGAGAGAGAGAGAGAGAGAGAGAGGAAATAAGAAGGATATTTAATAGAAGAAAGATATATAAGAAGGAATTATAAGAAAAATAATGGAAAAATAATTGATATGGACTTCCGCTCATTTAGAGGTCAAAGGTAATGAGATAGCGGATGATAAATTAGCGAAAATAGAGGCAGATAAAGAGAATACTTACAAAAAAATTAAAGATCTACACAACTTAAAGAAAGAATACATAAAGGAGGCTAGGATTAAAATGATGGAAAAAAATGTACTGGAAAGTGAATGGGAAGGAAAAGATTATTACTGTAAACACTTCAATAAAGAGACACAGAATCCTTAATGGGAGAAATGATAAACAGAGATTAGGCACAGTGATTAACAAAATCAGAGTAAATTATTATAACCTGAACAAATCATTGAGAAAATATAGAGATATATAGATTTTATAAGATATAAATGTTTGGAACTAAAAAAGAGGATATTAACAACTCAGATAGCCAAATTTACGCAAACAGATTTTTAACAGAGCCTATAACGGTCTGACGGCAAATTGGAAGCAGAAATCGAGCAAACTCTGTTACAACAGGATCTGGTTTCTAGTGCCAATCTGCTCATCTGTCAGCAGATTCTGGTAACAAAACACGAGCTGAATACGGACACAGATAGCTATGATTTTGGCGTGGAATTCTGATAAAATTTGCTGATAATCTATACATACTCTGCTATCAATTTGCTTAGTGGGCATGTTCTATTTAGCCGTCGTGAATATGAGAAAGAAAAGAAGTTTATGTGTAGAAAAATAGACAGAAAAAAGGACAATGTTATTATAGATTATTATAGATATTATATGATTATTATAAATTATATAATGCAGAAAAAATAAAGAATATTAGAAATAATATATCAGTGAATAAAATAAGGAAACAGATATAACAAGAAGAAAAATGAGATGGGGAATAGAAAAATACTTATTTCAGAATAAGGAAAAAGTGCAGAAAGTGTCAAGTAGCTATAAATATTCTCGAGAAAGGCTGAAGACACGGTGGCTGGCGCCACCAAACAAGGGAAAAAAGCCAGAGAGATATTCAAATATACATAATTTGTAACATGTCGTTGTATGAAATATAAAATTCTAAATCCCGAAAAAAAAAATTTAGAGATCAATAAGTAATTCTTTATGATTATCTTTTTTATCTTTCTTAGATTTATTTCCAGAAAAAATATAAAATAGGTATCCATCATCATGCATTATGTAAACATTGTTTGTCATATGAATTCGTTACTGACAATAAGCCGAGACGCATTCTGTCGCGTCATCCTGATGATAGGCACTCATGTCCGATACGGCCGGACAACCAGTGATAGGAAATCTTCGAGCTCATCACACAAATAGACGAAACGTCTCTGTGTGTGTAAATAGAAGGAGAAAAAGTGCGCCCGGGCACAATTTCCCATCACTGCGGGGAACAATCGCTAATCGTCGTCAGTCGTCGATAGTAGCTCGACGAGTGTGTACGCACCGAGACAAAGTTGCTCGTAATCGGTCGATCTTACTTAACCTCGTGACGCGCCGACGCGTTTCATCCGAAAGATTCCGAGTCGAGCCGACATCGAATCTCTTATTCTTCTAATAAAAGTACTCTTTCGCGTCGCCGTTCTCTCAGTCGCGTCAGCGATATTGCGGACTAAGTGTGTTATGCATTGTGCGTCCACTCTCCGTATATATGATAACTGTATATAAAGGGACAACAACAAAAATGCGATCCGTCGCGCGAGACAAGCCGTGCGTGCCGAGTGCGATCATCTGAGCGCAATTAGCATACAAACATAGACGAAAAACCAGAACGGCGGACACATTTGTGCGTGCCTACACACGTATACCTACGACACATATCTGCACAGCTGCTTCGTCCATGTACTATCCGTTGCACTCGCTGCATCGACGACCGTGACAACGTGAAAGGTGGGGACTCATCGTAGAGTGCGTTCAGAAACGTCACCCGAATACTCTTTCTCTCTCTTTACTTCACTCTCGTATCTCTCTTATTCCAACGCAGCGGGTGCACCCGGGTGACGTTTTCGAACGCACCCTTACTGTTGTGTGTGTTGTCATCGCGGACACACGTACCGAAGATGCCTGTGCAGCTTAGCAAGTTTGCCATCGATGCAATCTGCAGCAAGTATTCTCATCCATGGACGAGTTCATGCATCAACTCGAGCGTTGGTCTCGGTTTACACAGCCTCCAGGAGAGTCTGAGGATATATGTGACTCTTTACTTAGTACGTACGAACGCCTCAGGATGTATTCGGAGAGCGCTTCTGCGCTTCATTCTGTCTTTGTCGTTCTTTTAGATGTACAATAAAGATAGAATGATACGTTAGTATTAAACAGCGCGCTGATAGCAAATGCTCTTTGAACGCATCTTATACTTCTTGTTTTTTCCTTTTCGCGCGAAATGAACGCATATGTACATTTTTTCTTTTTGAAGCACGAAACTTGTTCTTTATCGCTGAACTGGTTGCATTAATTGTGTGCCTGTTTCTTTTTAAATTCCGTAAATGCACATTAGTACAGCGATAAAAAACAGACCTATGATCTCTCGATATCTCCTCGACAAAGTATGAACATTGAAATTTTCCTTTACTATAGTCGATTATTAATCTTTTATCGACAAGTTTGACTTTGATCGTATTAACGATTGCTTCGTAAGCGTTACATGTGAATGATTAGGCTTTAGTATATTTCATTATCAGTAATAAAATATAACTGAATTTCATTAAATTAGAACAGAAAATTACAATGACATCAAAATATGATGACTAGTCGATCCTTGATCGATAAGTTTGACTTTGATTATGTTAACGACTTTGATTATGTTTATACTAGGAAAAGTGACTAATCATTTTTTCGTCATTATCGTGATTATTTATTCTGCCTGGATATATATATATTTCGTATGTAATCATTTTTTTGTGTTAAGATTTATAAAAATATGAAAAACGCATGAATAAAATTAAAAAATCTGAATATCTGAATCTAACACGTATGACATTGAGAATTAAAGTTGTGTAATATTATTTTTACAAGATCAAAATAATGTTACTCTGAAATTTATATAATATACTCACGACACATGATTGTATTTTTTCATCTATCGATTTGTTTCATTATTTTTCAATCTATTGATCATTTTCATATATATTTCATATATCGACCAATTCATTCAAACAACAAACTTTTCACGATGAAAACTTTTGTAAATTGCATTCGCATCAGAAATCGGATAACTCAGAGAGACCTTAAAACTCTGTCAGTAAATTCATTAAATTTAATCGAAGTTCAAGGAATGTTATCGAAACAAAATTAATTAAATTTACGAAGTGAAATTTATACGCATTTAATTTAGCAACGAACAACTTAAAGCTGATTTTCACTGTCCAATCAAACAAATGTATTACCTGATATATTAATGATAAGAAATAATTTTATTATTTATTTGCATAACTAAATAGTGTTAGTCGCATTTTATATGAATGTAAGAAAATACGTCTTATACACATGTCTAAAAAACGTCTTAAAAACGTCTTATGTAAGACGCCTTCATGACATTACCAAAGGTCGTCTAAAAGGCGTCTTATTTTAAATGTCTTTAAGACGTTACCCAAAAAACATCTTAAAAACATCTGAAATAAAACGTTTTTAAGATATTTCCAAAAGACGTTTTAAATAATAATGTCTTTAAGGCCACTATTTGTAATTAGAATCTTATCATTTGTAATCTTATATTTAAGATCGTCTTAATTTCATTTTCAGATTCTCCGTAGCCAATGAAATAATCCGTACAGTATCTGAAGATGAACTTAAGACAGTTTAAATATAAGATCCGACTATGAATACCGGCCTAAGATTTAAATCGGAACATAAGAATTGTTGTGTGGAGTCGCATTTTTACGACTTTTACGGCGGCAAACATTCGATATCTCAAAAAGCTTTTATATACTTTTACGATTTAGTCACGTAAAATATATTGACATTTGTCCTACTTTTGTGTCAGTATATAATATATTCGACATTTGTGTGCTTTAATTTGTGTGTGAATCTAAATGTTCTTCAAGGTTCGTAACGTTATCAACAGCCCGTGCGTGCTAAAATATATAAATAAAATTTAATAGTACAATAATTGACTATATATACGATCCACGAATTTCATGAATTATTTTTTCGAAAAGTTATGTTAAATATAACAGACTTGTTAGATATTTATTGAATTATTGAATAATTAGTCAACAATGATCTGCAAAAAAACTCAAAGTAAATGTTGGAATTAAAATATTTTATTTACAATTTTTTACAATGATCCAATTTTTAGAACACAAGAATCGTAGTTTAAGAATTTAATATATATAAAATATATATAAAATTATTTTATTTCCTTATTACTGATTTCTGTTTCTTCTGTTTTAGTTTGCTCTCTTAATGAAAAGAAGGAAACCAACAAAGGAAGACATTAAGAAAACTATATTAGGTATTTTGCAATCTACAGCATTTCTTGCATGGAGTGGTTTTTCTTATTCAGTTTTTATCTGTTGGTTAAGGTGAGTATAACAATGAAATATTGCTTGGTAGAATTAATATTTTAGAGATCTAAATTTATAATCTCATACAATATTTAAGTGTTAACATTTATTAATCTTTTACAAATATACAGTAATATTTACAAACATTATTATATTTAAACATTATTATCTTATTAAATAAGATAAAAATAAGAATGATAATAAAAAATACATATATTTGTGTTTCAGCCGACTATTGGGCCATTTAAACTTCCTGACTGTGTCTTTTCTCCCATCCTTCTTGTCTAGTCTAACTGCTATTCTTATAGAAAGACCTTCTAGACATTCATTATTGTGTCTCTATGTATCAAACATTGTAAGTAAAGTCTTATAACAGTCTTTTAACTAAAGTGAAGTCTTATAAAGTCTTTTAACTAAACATAGATTTTTATCATTGTTTTCTTTCAGGCGACAGAAACATTGTTTAAAATGGGTGTGTGGCGAGGATATTTTTCACCTATCCCAAGAGGGGAAATCTACATCTTCGCCGTGAGTGCAGCTGTATTATTGTATTTTTTCCGTTCAAAAGTGAACAAGCAAGATTCCATATATAAGATATTGAGGTATCTAAATTTATATACTTATTATACTTATAGTATTTTCTTTTTATTATGTACTCAATGTTATGATTGAATACCTTAAAAACATCTTGAAATTCTGAAAATATTTTACAAAATAATCTTAAAAATGTCTTTTAGACATGTATATTATCTGGATACTTTACGTATGAATTTAAAAAAAAAAACAGGTTAATTGTTGGACCATATGAAGAGATTGAATACACTGTGAAAAAAGATTTGCATTCCAAAACTTCCTTAGAAAATATTGAGGTTAGCAGTACAGAGAAGAATAGAGATATACAGAAGAAATGTCAAAAGAATAAATTCAATATTCTGTTAAAGTCTTTGGAGACATACAAATATTTAATTAACATTTTAAAAGCACGCAGCAAGCATGTCTCATGTCCACATCCTTATAGCTGTGCGCATTATGTTTTAGCGGTAAGAATAACAATATAAAATATAGAGAATAATCCTATAAATTTAACACTGGAGATATTCTCTTACTTTTCTATTTACAGGGAAGTGCAAGAGCCTTCAGTTATGGTATTGGCGGACAATTAGCACTTAATTTAATTTTTCAGTATAAAAAATTACTTCAAAGCCCAAAACTAATAAAATCCATCATCTTTCAAAGAGAAAACTTAAATCTTGGTATATTCCTTGGAGGATGTTCCGGCCTTTTCAGGGTATATTTTGTTGCTTAGTGTATTAAAGGAATATGATAAAAGTACAAGAATTGATTGTGAAAAATGTCAATGACAATAATACTTCTTGCGAGTAATTGTTTTTACTTATCATTTTCTTCGATTTTTAGCTAGTGTCATGTTCGTTAAGAAGAATTCTCCACAAAGATTCACACACTTATGCTATTCCCGCTGGACTTGTTGCGAGTATAGCGTTCATGGCATATCCCAATAATGTTGTAGCATTATACTTTATGTGGAAAGCATTGCAGGTATTATATTATCAACCGTTCTTGTTAATCTCTTAATGTATGTTATAACTATTTACACTACTCTGTTTTAGCTGCTGTGGAATAATGCAGTGGAAAGCGGGAAGGTGCCTGAGATAAAATGGTTCGTGATCTTGTTGTATAGTTTTAGTACTGCATTACTCTTTCATGCAGCTATAATAGAACCGCAAAACTTACGACTATCTTATTTTAAATTCCTCTACAATATGTCTGGTGGAAGGTAAGCAACAATAATAAGTCGGTGTACTATCTTATTTAAAATTTACTCAGTTCTATTGTTTTCAACTTCCATGTCTATTCTAGGATAGCAGTGATGTCCCGAATACCGCTAGACGAATTTGGTTTAGAAACAAACAAACATTTGCAAGATGTGCTTAGGAAAACGCGTCTGACTGATCAAATTAATTATTCTTTTTAAAATGCTTCTGAAGACTAATCGAAGCGACAATACGTACCTTATTTTTCTCAAGAATATACTTTTTTTGCCGAACCAAAGAAGTAAACAGATGCATTATGTGCGTTTACACTTCTAAACTATGTTGAAATAACCATGAGAGTCAATGGGATGAAATAATGTACACTCTCTAAATAATACGTTCTAAATGGTAAGAACGCACGATTTAGAATATATTTAATTGTAAGTTCTTCGTTTATGTACGCTAAGCGAATTAATAATTCTTATAAATGTGTTTATAAATGTGTTTAAACATATTTATAATTCTTATAAATATGTTGGACAAAAAATATTAATGAAATGGTATTTAAATACTGATTTTGCCACGATTTACGATTTTAATCTATCGATTTTTAGTCCCTAAATGCGATAACAAAAATATTTGTGCGTACGTGATTTAATTTTATATGCGATAGTCAAAAACGTATATATCTGTGTAGTGCAGAACGCATCTATCTTATGTGTTCTAAAATCTCAACATGAAAACCCTAATAATATCGGCCTTTTCTCTTTTTAACCATATTTCAAAGCAACGATGCTTGAATGATGTGATATTGGGTAAACTTAATACTTTCATAACAGATATAATTGTATAGATGTGTATGTGTGTGTGTATATACATACATACATACATATATATATATATATATATATATATATATATATATATATAAAACTTAATATTTAATTGTTATAATATTTATACATGTGATAAATGGATAAAATAAGGGAAATAGGTGAATGAAATTATTTATACTTGGATGTGGTCACTATAGAATAATTGCAATAGTAGTAGAAACATATACTTTCACATTTTTGTAATATATTATTACTATATTTTTTTTATGCGAAATGTTAAATGGAGATTTACCACTTAAAATATAAACGCTCCATAATGAGTCGTTTTAACAAATTTTTTACTAGAAATACATATAATTTATTTGTTAAATGTAATTTCTAATAAACACCATTTTTTCTTGCATAACGTGTATAAATATATGATATATACATATATATGACAATGTAATGCAAGTTGAATCATTTCTGCTTTTTAACAATTTCTAATGCTCTGTTCATTATAACGTCAGCGACATCTTCGCTATGTTTCCTCTTTTTCCCCCTTTTCCATAATACATCATCCCAATTGATACGACTTTCCATTCTCAAATTCTTACTGTCCAGGATGCCAGCGACTGTCTGCGATTCCAGAACTGAAGCTGAATGTTTTAGTAGTTTTGGTTTGATTGATTGTAAACTCTCCAATGAATCTTGCCATGGCAATAAGCCAGTAGGATCTCTTACCCATTGATAAGTATCTAAAAATGTTTATAATATATTATAATTATTTGCGAACTTATTATCTTAATACGTATTTCTTTAAAAAAAAAATACAAACATACCGGGTGCTGACTTCCACTGTAAATTTCGAACTACCTGATCCACTAATAAACAGGTTTTTTTTTCACTACATTCTTCCACTTGCACTGGTGCTTCATTTCCCATCGTATTTGCACGAAGATCGTCAACAGTGTATATTTTCTCACAAATATCCTCAATATTATTACTTTTTTGAGTATAAATTTTGAATAAGTTTACTAAGTCTCTTTTTGTGTTCGCATCTATTTTCGGCGTAACAATGTTCAAAAATGATTGCATCAAATCCACAAAGAATTCATTTGACCGTAATAAAAGCTTCCGTACGAAATTTATATCAAAAAGGAAGCATGGTGTGATATTTGATATGTCTATCCACAAAACATTCTGCAAATATGGATATTTATCGTGTATGCACATCTTTACATGCTGACTTAAATCTTTTGTAGATAATTGTTTACCCATTATGTTTAAGTCATGTTCCATAGTACGACAGATACTATGAGCAATGTCGAGTTGAATAAAACTATAGATAATAGTATTTATCCATAAAACAGCAAATGTTTTCCTTTCTTTAATTTCATGCTCTTCATCCAAGATGTTAAGCAGCTTAAATATCAGTGTCTTTAATAGCCTCTTCTTCTGCAGCAAAATAATAATATCTTTCCAAAAGTGTAGCATATCAGGTGGTATAAACTTCTTTTTTGAGTTAATTTTGTGTTTTCCTTTCTGCAGGAAAATATGCATACTATCGGAATTAGGTAAGAAAATCCCATTTTCACACAACATTTTACAAATTGTGTTATTTTTCTCAAGTACTGATAAGTTTTTAGAGAGACACGCAGATATCTCTAATAAAAGTAAAGCCTGTGCAGCTTTTAAATTGTATCTTCTTTCATTTTTAATGTTTTTAAAGTTTTCACTGACTTGTATGTCTTCATTTTTTTCGCTATCTAAGCTTCCATCATGCTGGGACAATGCATATATCCGTAAATCTTGTAATGTTATTCTAATATGCAATATTAAAAAATAATTTAGATGTAAAGCCTTACATATAATTTAATTCTATAAACTATATAAATTTGTTCTATAAACTATATAAATTTGTTTTTTAAAGAAAGATATCTGTCGCAATAATCCAATCAAATTGCAATAAAAATATACATACTGTAATTCTGTATCTGGTAGTTCTGATACTAATTGATGACCAGCATGTATATATAAACCAACACTTGTCCAAAGCTCAATCAGATCTCTAAGGACCTGTGTATTGTCTGGTTCTTCTTCCTCTTCTACTGTATTATTTTCTTTTACATAAAATTGCTCCATTGCAAGCACTTCAGGTGCCCAATACTCCTCCTTTAAAAATATTTTGATAAATAAACACACACTTACTACTATACTTGAATATATTATACTTGAAATATATTATACTTAAAATATATAAACATACATGTAACCATTCGAGTAATATATTAATGGCTATCCTTAATAGGCTAAGAGACGCTAATTCATGTCCATGAGCAGTATTATGCCTTAGATGAACTATCCATTCTGGAATTTTCAATTGCTGTGCAATTTGAAACAGAGATGTTTGTTTTGTTTGTCCTATATTCGATATATGATTTAAGAATCGCATTATCGTGGTGGAGTACATCAACCTTAAATCATTCTCGTAACACATTGGCAATTCACCATTGTCAATCTTGGAACTCCACTCGCGATCACGGAGGCAAACTTGTAAGATCGAGAGGGTGCTGTCTACACCCACCGGCAATTTCGGTATCCTGAAATGTAATTATTATCATAGTTGATCAATTTTTTTTATATCTTATGAATCAAACGTGTAATCGTATTACCTGGCTTTCCATGCTAAAAGCACTTTGTACGCTTTCGTCTGTTCGACTGTATTGTTGGAGTAGATTTTTGTGTACACGTCATGCCATTCGGCTCTTGAAATTGACAGATCAAATTAATTATTACAGTAGGCGTTTATTTTTTGCATCATTGAAACATAATTTAAGGAAATACTTACGAAGAATACCAAGGGACCTGCTTCACGTCGTCACGCTTCCCGGATAATGCCATGTTTACTCGAAAATGTGAAAGTAATAATTACTTCAAGACTTGCTATTCAGAACCGATTTTTTCAACCTCTTGAAAAAGGGTCTATTCGATACTGTAAATGCTTCGAAGCGTTAATTGAAGCAATATAATCAATCTGTCACTTTAAAGTACTTAGGCTTAGTTCATAGGCAAGATTTCCATCTTGCTTATGAGTGAATTATATTAAAAATCGAAAAAAAAAAGATAAAATATTATATTCTTTGGAAATAATTCCAAAATATGTCCCAAAAAATCATAGGTTATATCCGAACGTGTTCGAACATGCCTTCATGTCGCACAATTAAAAGGACGTCTACATTGGAAGTAAGTAGGAAGTAAGAGTAAGAAATTGACCAACCATAGTCGAATATGAGAAGAATAATCAACTATGATTGGTCGATTTCTTATTCTTACTTCCTCCTTCTTACTGCTTACTTCTAATGTAGAAGTCCCTTAAAGGAACGTCTACATTGGAAGTAAATAGCAAGAAGTAGGAAGCAAGAGTAAGAAATTGACCAACCATAGTCGAATATGAGAAGAATAATCAACTATGATTGGTCGATTTCTTATTCTTACTTCCTCCTTCTTACTGCTTACTTCTAATGTAGAAGTCCCTTAAAGGAACGTCTACATTGGAAGTAAATAGCAAGAAGTAGGAAGCAAGAGTAAGAAATTGACCAACCATAGTCGAATATGAGAAGAATAATCAACTATGATTGGTCGATTTCTTATTCTTACTTCCTACTTCTTCCTGCTTACTTCCAATGTAGACGTTCCTTTATGCTTTCCGCGCGGCGGAAGTTCGCGCGGCAGCCAATCAATATGTTGTTTTTCCGTAAGAACTAGAAAGTTATTACGGAAAGCAGCATATTGATTGGCTGTCACTCGAATTTCCGCCGCGCGGCAAGCATTACCGCGTCCTGTGTGCAGGAGCCATAAGGGAGCGCCCGATTGACCACGGTACGATTGGATGCAACCAACCGATGAAAAGAATTATCTAGTGAATTACTAGGTCGAATTAATCATTACAATCTGTGTCCAATCGTATCGTGGTCAATCGGGTCCCACCCAAAAAGTAAGCCGTAAGAATTGGCCAATCGTAATCGATTATTATAAAAATAATCGTCTATGATTGATTAATTCTTACGGCTTACTTCTTACTCCAAGTTTACTCCGCATATTGTAGACGATACTTAAGCCGGAATAAAGCTAATTCCATCCATCTTCAGAAATGCACCAATCAAGGATCTTATAGCATGTTCGACTGGCTCTGGGTTAACCCACTCTGGGTTATTTAGTCTACGTTTATTGGTCGAACAAGTACTTATAAGCTTTATGATTGGCTAATAGAGACTTATGACGTCATTAATTGCTCTCGGAGCGATTAACCCAGGGCCAATCGACACGCTATTAGAGTGAGAAAAAATATACTTGTTTCACTTTAACTTATTGCACCAGTTCAGCAGTGTAGCTGAAAAGAACAGACCAACTGTAGAATTTTAACTAGCAGTGAATTTCGGAACGCACCTCAGAGTTAATGTAAAATGGCGGACATGTGAGGTTAGTTGTTGAAATTAGTTGTAATAATAATGGCGAAAAAAGTCACAACAGTATTAATAGACCTCAGTGGTACGCTGCATATCGATAACATAGTTATTCCCGGTGCCGTACAGGCGTTAAACAGGTACTGTTTGTTATTTATTTGATTTAATTACGAATATATCGCACAGTACATCGACTACAGCGCAACCTCTATAAGAATGGCGCGATATATTTGTAACTTAATGTCAACATTTGAAAATTTATTTTATTTCTACAAGATTCCGCTTGTTGAGAGAGATTTCTCGATAATATAAAAAATATATATATCTGATAATAAATAAAATATCTCTGGAATAATGAAAATAATAGAATATCTAAAAATAATAGAATAATTAAAAAATCTATTATTTAACGACAGATTCTCTAATTACGCAATTTAGAGAAAACCTGCGCTTAACGAAAATGTGTGGAGTTATTAACAGTCTTTAGTAATAAATAATTAATAAAAATTTTTATATAACGTCATATATGAGTGAACTTTATTCTATCAGGTTGCATTCCAAAACATCTTCCGAGGAAAATTTTACTCTTAAATCTATAGTTCATGTTACATACATTATAGACTTAAGAGTAAAATTTTCTTCGAAAAGGACATTTTGGAATGCAACCCAAAATAACAAATTTAAATACTTGCAATCTAGGCTACGGAATGCAAATCTATCGATTAAGTTCGTCACTAACACCACCAAAGAGTCAAATAATTGCTTGTACGAACGTCTGAAAAATCTTGGCTTTGACTTGCGAAAGGAAGAAATCTTCAGTTCTTTAGCTGCAGCGAGAAAATTGATTATCTCTCGACAATTGAATCCGATGCTTTTGATTGATCCAGCAGCGCTGGAAGATTTTCAAGATTTAGTCGAAGACAAGACCACGCCTAATGCGGTTGTGGTCGGCTTGGCCCCGAGCAAATTCAATTACGACGAGTTAAACAAAGCTTTTAGGTTGTTTTGCGTTTCTTTCCTTTTTATCTCTCATATCAGATAAATACGTATATACAACGTATAATTTTAGATTATTGTTGGGTGGTGCGTCACTTATAGCTATTCACGAAGGACGATATTATAAGCGTCCTGACGGTCTAGCCTTAGGTCCTGGCGCATTTATCAAAGGTTTAGAGTATTCTAGCAATATGAAAGCGGAGGTAGTTGGTAAACCAACTGTAGGATTTTTCAAAGCAGCTTTAGGGGAGGTAGATCCGGCGCAGGCTATAATGATCGGAGACGTAATATTCCAAATAACTCTTCTCTTTGTTTTCTATAACATATAATTACAACTTTCTTATACGATCATAAATGTGAACTTGTAATTAGGATGTAAGAGATGATGTAGCCGGTGCGCAAGCAGCCGGAATCATGGGTATTCTGGTACAAACTGGCAAATACAGAGCAGGAGATGAAAACACGATTACTCCAGGACCAGTGAAAGTATGCGCCTCTTTTGTACAAGCCGTCGAGAGTATTCTCGATGGTGGCATTTGAAGATTCGTAATTGGTGAAATCAATAAGTAAATAGCAACACCGGAATTTTATATTCGCATGTCGCTACATATAGACAATGCAATCTTCTTTCTGTATTAAATTATATATTTTATTTAAATACTGATTATTTTTTTTTTTTTTATAGTGTACATAGTCTGGAGTGATGTCATATTATTGTAAGGTAGACGATAAATACAAATGGAAATAAATCCTCTTTCTGATATGGATATTCATATTATCGTTCTGCAATCCCCTATTAATATAATTCCCGATTAATCGAGGTGATACGACAATGTATTACAAAGATAATCAGATAAACACACGAAAGTATCGATCGAGGATGACAGAAATATCGTCTCATTACACACTCTTGTAGAAAATTGTAGAAAATCTGACGTGTTAGACTGACATTGGAAAGTTTGATAACTCACGTTAGGACAGCAAAACGTATTTTACAAAGTAATTCGTATGATATACATTCGATACTTTTGCAAAGACGAGACGATATTAATCTAATTTTTATCTTGTTCTAAAAAATTATAAATTTTGTAACTCTCTCGCGCTATATCGCGTAGCCTTATACCGTAAGTAGTACCACTATAGAACCTGCGCTTAATAATAAAGCAGGTTTTTACAGAAACAAAGTGTTCTTTTTCTGTTGGAATATTGGTGCGCTACGAAGTATCGTTTTTAGTATAAAATTTGGCACCGATATACAACTGTTTTTTTTTTCTTTTATACAGGTCACAAATACTAACACTGTGTTACTCTCAATGCTCAATATAACGTTAAAGCGAGATAAAGTTGATTTTGATTTTTCACACTTTTAATGTTCTAATATTAATACCTCAGTTTCTCTTCGTGCATAAGCGGTGTTTTAAATGATGAGACTGAATGCATCATTATATACTCATCATATCCTGCCCGCTACAGAATAAATGCTGATGGATAAAAATTTACGACGATAATGGTAACTTCTTGACGCGTACTTTATAATTTCTATATCATTTGTATAATATAAACAAAATGATAATGTATACTGCGGTCGCGTATCTTGTAATCATGGACTGTTTTAAATATCAATACAAGTCATAATTGAAATGCCCTCTGTAACTTATGATCTATGATCAGGCACATCACGATTATTCTCTCGATTTACGATAACGAATGTCTAAAGTGAATGACTTATTCGAAAAAATAAAATCGCAGAATGATCAATCTCGATTTATGCAAGATACACATTTGCATAGAGAACACTAATATGTACAGCACACTCTGAGAGAACTATGCAATGAACCGAATAATTCTCACTGATTATTATTAATCGCTATGTATACTATCGTACGAGTCACATTGTCATAATAAATAATTTTAAAAGTTAAACGCAACTTACAATTCTTATCTCTTTTTGTAACATACCATATTAAGATATTTAAAAGATAACTATATTTTTATACTACAAGTTAATTTACATTCAATTTGAAATTATATTTTAAAATTTCGTAACGATTAAAAAAATATAAGTTCACTGCACAATTTCTTCTGAAACAATGTAAAAATAACCAATAAGGCAACCTTAACTAGGACGATACATTTTCTTTTTTACCAGTCATACATTCACGTACCCTCATTGAGTCACACAAAAGTAGTTTCTTTATCGTAGTATCTTAACAATATCTTTTCTTGTGAATGGTAAACGAAGCGATAGCAAATAAATTCTTACATATCCTTAAAGCACTATCAAACTGAGGTTTAACCGAAGCTTGATAACAGAAAATAGCGATGTATCGTACATTGCGTAGCGCTTTAAAATTATAATAATATACATTTGCACTTGTAAAAAGATTCGCTCGTATAACTTCAATAACGCAAACTATATAGCTCACAGACCATATTTAATCTACGAACTAATAACTTCTTTCCCCTGAAGATCTTTAACTGTTTACAATAATAGCACATATTATCGGCTTGTAATTTGAATTGTCTGCACAGTAAGATTTGTTAAATTTTTATTCATACAACCTACTATTAATGGACATTATTCACAGTCGCGTTCATATATATACAATTTATATAGTCTAAAAAATCGAATGTTAACATAAAAACAACTACATATTTTTTATTCATTATAAATCTCTTCTAAGATCGAATTCTGTTGAATACTGCATATTTATCCAAATTCGGATATTTCATTTATCTGTAGTGTCTCAAGTATATCGCATTTATATATTCATACTTTATTAGCTTCAATCAGGAGACAGAATTTGATCTTATTACATTGCAGACAAATACACTTTTTTTTATTTCTCGCGTAAACGAGATAGGAAATATTGAACTTCTAATTTGGCTATTCAAATATAATTTGATTAATAGTAAATTGACATATCTCTCTCTCTCTCTCTTCCTTCTTTCATATATATATTTCTTCTTTTCTCTCTTTCTTTCGCTTTCTAATGTAACAAGGCAGGTGTGGAGTACATTTTGCATGCATGCACGTAACAAAACCTTATACATTTTTCTTTTTTTCATACTTTCAATAAATACTCAATACTTTTATTAAAATACTAAAACAAAAGAATCCTACTTACTCATTACGGAGTATATAGCTCTAAAAGAGAATTAATAAAGAAAAACTTTAGAAGCATTCGTGAGGATCACCTGGCGTTAGACCTAATAAAACCAACAATTATCTCGGCCATGCAGTCTATCCCTCCATTCATTTTCTCCCTTTGTATTTGTGCCATACTTTCTTACTGATAACTTTGACGCGGGAAGACGATAAATGGCTGACAACAAGCGCTTTAACTTCTACATCCAGGTACAAAAAGCATGCTATTCTCAAGCGGATCGAATCGATCGAGAGTAATGCTCCGTTGTGTGAATTTGGCCGCAGGATGCAGAGGTGTATAAAAGTGAGCAATTTACGTTTAATACTTCCACACATTATTGCCTTCGAACTTCACGTGCTATTCCTAATACTCCAAATATGCCTCGCCGCTATCCTTCGTTCCTGTCTCGACATCGTATGAAACATCCGTGAAATCCAGGTGATCATTTCCTAAGGAAACAGTGGCACAAGGTACCATATTTTGCAAATAGCCCATGTATTTTCCACTATTCTGAAACAGATCGAACGTTTTATATACAATCGATAAGAAGAGGGGATGAGAAAATAGTGTATCTTACCATGGTATAAAACCAGGCACACTGTAAAGACTCATGATGCAATGTAGTTAATCCTAACTATTTAACAGGGCGATAATGAAGTGTCAAATCCGTCGAACTTTTCCAGATAAAGTGCCTGACCTGAAAGGTAAACGCATATGTGTAAAGGGAACTTTTCCTCGACAGAAGATAGCAAAAGCCTCGATTCTACATATACCGTTCTCAAATCCATCGAGGGATCCAAGACCAGATCGTTGCATAAAAGTTCGACCTTTTCCTCGGCCAACGAAGAATTGTCAGCATTGGAATCCGTGTTTGTTCTATCGCCCGCTGGAGATCCACCGGAGACCGTATTTCCGCCACCAGCTACCGAACCTGAATCGCTTCCTGCACCGAGCACCTTATCGTAAACATGCTCCGCCACTTTACGCACTTGTATAAAATCATTCGCGATCAAACGATCCCTTGAAGACAACAAAATGATTATTCCGATTATGTTATCCAACGCGGAACCTCGGTCCAAAGACATAACGTAATACGTACTTCTTCAAACTCTTTACACCGGAAGTGGCGTGTGGAAGAAGGTAAAAAGGTATCTTAATGAATTGCGGAAGATTTTTATCCACGACTATGTTTACTACCCATGGCGGCACTGTTTCATTTAATAGCACACCTTCGGTTTCTCCCGCGGCATCTCGAACTAATAGTCGATAAAGGGTTCTGCCTCCAACTTCACTAAAAGAAAAAAATATTATATCACAGTCTGTTCATTAAGTAGTTCAGTTATTTTCCCATACCTGAAGATGACAGGTGTATGACTAGGTACTGAGAAGTATTGATTTCCTCCTCTCGTATGTATGGGACCATTTCCATCATTGCTATTACCTTCGTTCTCATCGTCAGCGTGTAACGGCCTCCACCAGTGCTCGAGTAAGGCTTGCAACAGTAGGTTCCCATAATTCACTGAAACACAAAGAGAACATTATTAAATCTTCATTTCTATTTCTTTTTAATTCACTAATTTTCAATGTCGCGAAAGAGTCATTACCTTTCTGATCTACAGCATCATTTTCTGCCAGACCGGTCTCCTTGGCAGAAACCCATGCGGAAAAACAATCGTTCTCATCTTGTCCTAAGTGTATAGTTAACATCTGCAATGACAAGGAGCAGTTAGAATCTATTCAAGCTGAGAGAAAGAGAGAGCATCGATTCGTCAGAGATACACACCCCTGTTTTGAGATCAACGTTAAACCAGTTTGGAACATATACCATTTTGTTTCTTTTTTTACACTCCTGCTCGAAATCGACTCTGCCTAAATCTTCTACTTTACACGCTTTTAATACATCATACAAAGCAACATTTTCCTCTGTATCCTTCGTCATAACGTGTCTTTTATCATTTAATACGTGATAATGTCTTATGGCAGGGCCGCCTAATATCTTTTGCGTAGGTTCGGTGTTTCTCAATATATTCACACCGCCCGATACGTTACTGGCAGAATCGCAACAATCTCCGATCCCCAATTCTTGCCAGTCTTTTTGGCTTATAGACTAAAACGTTAAATAAATATATTTCCCTCTCTGTGTCGTTTTTCTCTGCAAACTTGTGAGAATATGAAGGATTTTACTTACCCAATTATTAATGGTCGATTCGCTAGTCGCTACCCAAATACTAGATTGATCTGGCGTCATGGCCATTTTAAGTATAGGCGCTTTCTCCTCACAAATGACTGTATATCTCTCCGCATAGCCTAATTCTGTCATTACTATCCTCTTATCTCTGCCTCCAGATATTACATGGCTAAAACTGTCTGTCGCCTAGACACATCTGCTCTTTAGTACAATGTCGCATAGTAATCAAGAGTGAAGATTCGCGCATATACTAACCAGTAACGCCCACACGCCCTCCTTGTGAACTCTGTAGGTTTGCACGCATCTCTGTTGGCCGAGCGACCACAGTTTAATAGTGCCATCAGAACTAGCCGATAAACATTGAGTGCCATCCCTATTCAAGACCAATGCCTTGATATTGTCCGTGTGGCCGCGAAGTTTCATGAGTTTGGTGCAAAATCGTGGATCCCACACGCGAAGGACCTTCTCTGTGCTACCACTCACGATAATAGTGCCAGTTTGATTCATGGCCAGACTGTAGATGGAATCTCTGTTTCCACTCAAAGACGATGCTGCAACACGTTGTGTCAACATATTGTGTCAATACCCTCTTACACAGCGAAAGAGAGAGAAAGAAGCAAAGCAGAAAGCTTAGCAAAGTGACAGCATCACTACGAGTGACTTGCAGTAAGTACATACTTGTCACTGTGTTGTTGCTTGCAGTAAGAGCAGTCAGTGTATTGACGTCCCAAAGAAATATCGACTTGTCTAAACCTGCACTAGCAACCTGCTCCCTGTCCTTGGCATATGCCAATGCCTTGACATAGTCCTTGTGTGTACGCAGTGTGGACATGCAGAAACCCTTATGCGCATTCCAAACTTTGACAGTGGTGTCTGAACTCGCGGATATAACTGCACAAATTCGACGATGATTAATGTATTGACAATTGTAAGGAATCTTGAGAGACAAGCGAGAACTCGTGCGTCACAGGGAGCTTGCGAGCCGAAAAGTAGGTACATACGATTTTTACCACCACAACATAACACTATGTCGTTGACCCAATCTGTATGATGTTCCATGGACTGTGTGTACGGCTCCTTCATATTTCTGCAATTCCATATCCTTATGATGCTGTCTCTGCCAGCAGAATATAGCCTGTGTAAGGCTGGATCGTATTGCAGGGAATTAACGCCGGCTCTGTGTTGCCTTTCCACTTCATCGCGTATAACCATAGACACCTTTGTGGAGAAACAATCAATCGCGAATCCATCATACTCGTGACTTTTAGACATTTCGATCGTCTAATATCAATAGTTAAAAAATTCTACTTATTTTTTTATATACTCCGGACAAATGTAAAACTTATGAACGACATCGCGGTGTGAAGTGTCGACAAGGAATTGACGAGAACACATTCAATTGGCTTCAATATATCAAGGTAATAAATCAACACAGGAAATAAACGATTATTCTGTTACACAACGTGTTATCGCGTAATCCTCTTTGCTCTGCGATTCTCTAGGCTACGAAAACGTCTCGACGCGATCCTCAGCGTCGACATTCATTGTTTCGCGTATATTCCTCCGGAATTTCTGATCGAAGAAGGAGGATTGAGAGCCGTGTGCTATAACGCTGTGACATATGTACCTGTACTTTTTTACGGGCGCTCTGCCCGCCCGTCTTGTGAGTTGCCATTACGCCCAGGATCGCTTAGTCCAGCGTACAATCGTTCAGCGGGACAAAACAAATTCGCGCTGGAGGTTTAATTTCACGATTTAAGCAACCGCGACAGCAGTTCCACGTTGCGCTCGGTTGTCGTGTACTCCTGTCATTATAGAAGCACCAACAACGTGCGTGCCGATCACTGCCGGGATGAGGCACGCGTGGTGCGGTTATCGCACGGTATTATCATCATTGTCGTCGTCGTCGTCGTGATTGTCGTCGTCTTCATCGCATTGCCGAGACACTCGCGAGACAGCGCGCGAGGCAACGGACAGTGGTGCATCACGGGAAGTTGTCCTTTGAGCTGCGAAGAAGGCTCGCGATCCAGCGACAATCCGGGTCGTGACGATCAGCACGTCAAGCGAATCTCTCTCTCGATGGCGACGGAACCTCGCTTGTACTCATGATGCTCGAGCGTGCACGCTCGAGTAGTTGCTCGCGCCGCTGCTCTCGTGCCGCCGCCGGTGTCAATACGCTTCAACGTTACGTATTTTTGCACAACACATTTCACGAGTGTGTGTGCGCATCCAATAACAAGATGCAGTCGAGAGCCTAAGGTTCGTATAATTGGCCGCGTTGTCGTCGACATCTCGCTGACGTGATACGCCAATCGGCAAGTCGCGTGACGGTATGTCCGATGTAGAGCTAGTATCTGATTCGTTGTATGACCAATCGGACGAGCGTATCGGATTGGTTGCCGAAACAGCTTTCTGGGGGCATCCGAAATTCTCTATCCGATATCTAATCAACATGTCCGACAGACTCGAAGTCGTTCAGTGAAAGATTGGTCTTTACATGATGACATCCGGTATAGCCGACGGAGTAGCGCTAACAGTGTCTTCCTGTGGAAGAGTCGCCATTTTCTCAATGTGTCCGTTGCTGGAGTAGCGTGCCTTTTGCGGATATACCTGCGGGAATTGTTGCTGTCTGTATTTAGGCGTTAAACGTCAACTACGTGGGCCGATAAGAGTTATCAATCTATCGTCATCGACTTAAGAACGTCCGTGATAATATGAATCAGTCGCGGAATTTCACGTCATTATTGAATCCAAGTTATCTGCAAAATGCTCAACAGAACCCGGCGAATGCGAACGCAGCGGCAGCAGCCTCAGCCGCGGCTGCTGCCGTGGTAAATGCCGCGATTGCAAACGGCACACAGCCGAATGCCAACGCAAACGCATGTTCTACAACACTGACACGCAAGCGAGAATCAGAGGGTATGTTATGCTTGAGTTTCTCTTTCCTCCTCTCTGTCTTGATTTTTTTCTTTCGAGCAAGGTTTCTCACCTGCTCTGTGCTGACGGAGCTTCTCGCAATTTCACTGAAATTAGCGCGATTGCAAGCAATAGTTTGCGTTAACTTGCAAACATTTTGTCGCGGGAGTGTCTTTTGGTGTTTCGTATGTGTTTCTGTACTGCTTCACACAATGTTATTGAAAGTGAAAACTAATAGTTATTAATGTGACACATGAGAAAGATGTTTTCATTATTTCAATGCTAACAACAGTTTAGATGTTTATGCTTAGTATATATTCTAATTGCAAAATTTTCTGACAGAGGATTGTAAGCAAGAGAAAGAGACAAAAGAGGAACGTAAGAAGAGGAGAAAAACTAGATGGGGAGGTAGCGAACATGACAAAACATTTATACCAGGGATGCCTACAGTACTACCAACAAATCTGACTCCTGAACAAGAGAAGGCTTATCTCTGTAAGTTCTTTTTTACTTGCTCGATGTTTATAATAGATTTCTTTTTATGCGTTGGTACATATAGCTAGGGAACTATTTCAAATATTTTGCTTTTGTACATAAGTTTTCGAAACTTAATTTGTAGAATATATGACTATGAATGATGTAAGTATGTGACATATGTATCAGTAAAAACTCAAAGTTCTCGGAGGTAAGCATCGGGATTCCTTAAAAAGCTGTATTAAATCATCAAATTTGGCAAGAAGGATTGCCAATTTCACTTAATAATTAAGATCTGACTGTTCATGCATCTTCAATGCCCTAGAAATTTACTAGATATATCTATAAGCATTTTACTTGTTATTTAGGTGTACATATATATATATATATATGTATATATATATATATATATATATAACAAATTTAAAATGTTTGAGGTTGTATCTTATAATTATTTTTTTTATTAATAGCTAAATTTCTTATAGTTGATAAGTCAAAGCTCCACAGGCTTTTGACTTTGAAACTGATTGAGGTATAATTGAAGTACATGCAGTAATCTTATTTATTCTGAGACATGCTTATTTTATAGAATGTATATGGTTATAGCAAATTGGCAATATCTAACTGTTGGGGTTTCCGCCCCCTCTAACCCATTGGTTTACAGTTCAGCTGCAGATTGAGGAAATCAGCAGGAAGCTACGCACTGGAGACCTTGGAATTCCACTTAACCCTGAGGAAAGGTTTGAAAGAAACTTACATACCAAAAATGACCATTACATATCTACAATACCTATCTACTGACCATACAGCAGCCAATAATACAGGAGCCTTAAAGATATCTGTATGGCTCAGGTTCAATTAGTGTGGGATACCAATGTCCAATTGAAAACATTGGGCTCAATCGAAGCTCCCACGCAACACAGAAGATACATTTTGATAATATTGGTTTGCCCTAATCAATTTCTTTTAATAATCCCATTTTTATTAAACACTGCTACAACGTGATCTATCCTAATATTTTATAAGAGTTAATAATCGGACATAACTGCTTTCAACATATTGGATATTTGAAGGACTGTCGATTATAGTAGCAGTGTTTAAAGAGCAGTGGGTATCCTAGTTCATACATCTCTTAAATAGATACATTTTTGCACACATAGAATAACTTTGAGGTGACCTATTGCAATCTGTTTCTAATAGGTAAAAAAATTTGACAGCATTAATGGATTATGAGATAATTCTAAGTAGCAAATTCATTTTGTCATTAATTACAACAGCATGCATGGGTCATCTCGAGTAAGATTCTGCCCCTTTATTTAGGCTGCCGTGATTTGCACGGTATTTTGAAATCATCAATAACAATGATAATATTGATGCCAATAGGAAGATTATTAATCAACTTGCTAATCTTTGTCGTTAATTACAATCTTAATGAGCAGATTTCAGGAAAATATCGGTTTGTTGAAATTCTCTAATTCGTAACGTAATGCTGTAACGAAGAATTTAACGTTACTTTCAGGTACATCTTAAATAAACACACATACTTTTCCTAATAAATTGATTTATTCCAATAGGTTTAACTTTTCCGATTTTAGCTGGAACCGTTATTTTTATGTCATTGTGTTTCCGTTAATAGCGTACGATATAGTAAAATATATCGATCGTATTACAACTAATCCAAAAGATTATTTTTTAATAATCACAGGATCTGTCTTAGCAGCTGACATCATACCGATATCTGCCATGCACAAACGCGCAGTCTTCCAGTGGTTGTGTACAATAGAACACTAAATATGTAGCTACACTCTATTTGACAGCGGCATAATTTTCTATTTTTTATTTTGATACCTTGGCACTGTTGTGGGAAATTCTAATACATACACATTTCCTTAATTATTTTTTTCACAGTATATAAACAATTATATAAGTGTATCAATATACAGTTTACAATTACTTTTTCTAGGAATTACATTCTGACAATACTAGCATTTATTGGTTATGCTATTGTTATTGATACAGAATTATTAAAAATGTTACTTTATAATGCTATATTTAATAATTTTCTTATGAACTGTAGCTTTTTCTATGCTACATAAAGATTCCCAATATAAAATAATATCCCTTTCAATAAATATATGTATATGTTTAGTGTAAAAAGGAATTTATGATTCACTAAACATTTCTCCAACATAGTCAGACAGTATCGCATTTATAAAAAAATTAAATCAAATCAGTCCAGAAAAAAGAAATAACGGTGATTTTTCCGTCATAGAGCTGTACTGAATCTACATAATTCTCTGCTCTAAATCAACAGTTTTTCCCCACCTATTCATACGGTCATAGTAGGCTCAGGTTGCTTGTATATTAGTAACGTCTTGACGAAAATTTATATCTTGATATGGTATTATTTGTTTTGTTTTCCAGATCTCCATCTCCAGAACCAATCTACAGTAGTGATGGCAAACGGTTAAACACGAGAGAATATCGTACAAGACGTAAATTGGAAGAAGAACGTCACAATTTGATTCAGAAGATCCTTAAAATTAATCCAGATTTTAAGCCACCACCAGATTATAAGTAAGTGATTATTTATGTTATATGCATTTTCTATAAAAAATTGATTTATAACTATTCCTCGCGCGATATCTGAATTTATTTTCTTTTCTTTTTCCAGGCCACCAATAATACGAGTTCATGATAAAGTAATGATTCCTCAGGAAGAGCATCCCGATATAAATTTTGTGGGTTTACTTATTGGACCACGAGGAAATACCCTGAAATGTAAGTAGATTATAAATCGCAAAGCAATACGCTTAAGTGCGATTATAACTTATTCAATAATTTAAATACAATTGGGGTCTCAAATTTCATCTGTTCAAAAATTTTCTAGCTATGGAAAAAGAGACAGGTGCAAAAATTATAATTCGTGGGAAAGGCTCTGTGAAAGAGGGTAAAGTTGGCAGGAAAGATGGTCAACCCTTACCGGGTGAGGATGAACCTTTGCATGCATACATCACGGCGAACAATTTAGATGCCGTCAAAAAGGCTGTGGAACGAGTATGTTTCTAACATTAATTCGTATAACTTTCTCTTTCTTACTTTTGAAACTGCGTAAGCACGATAAAAATTTATAACACAACTCTTTTTTTTTATTACACTTTTAACACTTTTTTTATAACACTTATATCGAATGAAAATGTAGTCTCCGCTCGTATCGTTGTACATTGAAATACATAATGGGCGAAGCAAACGAGAACAATGTGATAATTATGTTTATATTACTAGATACACGAAATTATTCGGCAAGGTGTGGAAGTGCCAGAAGGTCAAAATGACTTGCGTCGTAATCAGTTACGCGAACTAGCTCTTTTAAATGGAACTTTACGCGAAAATGACGGTCCACGCTGTACCAATTGCGGAGCTTCGGATCACAAATCTTGGCTGGTATATATATCTTTGTTATACACATATATTATTAACTTTATGCACATATAGCTTTATTAACTCTAAAAGAACTTTTTATTATTTATTCGTTCTTGTTAGTATTAATTTGTTAACTTGTGATGTAATTCCAGTGCCCAGATAAACCAAATGTGACGAACAACATCGTATGTTCGAGTTGTGGCGGTGCAGGACATATTGCTCGGGATTGTAGATCAAAGAGACCTGGTCAAGGGGGTCCGGCAACTACCGGAATGGGAGGTATGGGTCCAGGTGGCGATAAAGCCAAGATAGATGAGGAATATATGTCGCTTATGGCAGAGTTAGGAGAAGGACCGCCACCTGACAGATCGAAATCTGGACAACCCAGACAAAATCCGAATCCCAATTACCCTGGACTCTTCGATAGGTATACATATATATTTCATTATTCTTTTTAGATCAAAATCTTTTGTATCAATAGAATGTAATAATCATGTTTGTCCCATTATGTTTTTTTTCCCCAGGCAACAACCACCTCGTGCATTGATGGCGGCCCCAGCACATCCACCACCTCAGATGATGCAAGGTGGACCGATGATGCCACCGCCTGGAATGGCACCACCACCATGGAGCCAAGGCGATAATATGAACAATATGAACATGCAATGGCAACCACCGGTCAGTATGCCACCACCACCAGGCGTGATGCAGCCGCCACCGCCACCGCCTGGTTCTACCGCCGCACAACCGAACATTCCACCATTGATGCCGTGGATGGCTGGTAACAATCAGCCGCCACCACCGGGCCAAATGCCACCCACGCAGATTCCACCGCCTGGAATGGGCATACCACCATGGCAGCAAGGCCAACAAGGTCCTATGCGACCGCCACCACCAGGAACAGCGCCGCCACCGGGATTCCCAGGTTGGCAGCATCAGCAAATGGGAGGCTGGCCGCCCGCTGCTCCGGTACCGCCTCCACCACAACAACAGACTCCTGCGCCACCGGGTATAGACCTAAACACTTTGCCAACTTTACTCGCGCAGCCACCACCACCGCCTCCGCCCACCAGTTAGTCCTAAACGTCTCAGCAAACCTTCCTGGAAAATACGACAAGTACGAAGTTGACGGAAATAAATAAGGAACAATTACATCGCAACTTTTATTCATGCGATAGGTTTTGACTCTTTTCTTCATACGTGACTTTGTTCTGGTACAATGTGCGGCGTGTAATCACAAAATTTTCGATGAATTTACGGAAGTTTGAGTATTTTCATTGATTACGAATAAGTAGATAAAGCGAATGAAGAAGAGTTTGACATCTCGGAAAAAATTGTATACGCAATTCGTAAATAGAACATCTAACTTTAGTTATCGACATTAAACTGACATAATCTTAGATTTCTTGCTTGAATTCATTTAAATGACTATGGCACATGAATTTTCTTCTCAAATACGAGCACAAGTAGCGAGATATTAGTTTCTTCCTTTTTATTTTATTTCTAAACGTCGCTTCCGAAACTGATCAATGTTCTAAAATTGTAACATAGGTAAAAACTATGTGGTTCGAATATTTTATTTATGTATAAATAATACGCTATATATATATATATATATATATATATATATATATATATATATATATATGTGTGTGTGTATATATATATATATATATATATATATATATATATATGTGTGTGTATATATATATATATATATATATATATATATATATAAAATTACGCATGATTATATTAGTACAATATTCGGTGATATATATAATATAGTTTACAATAACAGTAACGAAATTTGTTCTAATATATGCATCAATTCATTTGTGAATCAGGCATGAAACGCTGTCAACGTTCGCACGGGGTATATTAACAGACGATTTTTTATAATTTTAATCAGCACTGATCGACAAAAATGTTGAATCATATGCGTTTGTCGAGCGTTCGTGAACGATATAGGACGAAATAGATAAGGAACACTTCCATATGTTACCTCTAACATTTACAAGATAGAAGCAACATACAGAGATGTCCCTCATTGACTTTGATAGACTTTGGATGTTATACAGCAGCTAAAAATAAGTGACAGGTATTTTTTATATATTTTTTCTCGTACATTTATATAGAAACTGAAACAATTCATCGAAGATAATTTGATAAAAATTACCATGATTAATGTATTGAATTTTCTTTGAGGGGTTAAGTTTTTATATGTGCGGAAAAAAATATTAAGATATATGTGTTTCTTATTTTTAACTGTTTAACAGCATCTCCAAAATTATCAATGTTAACTTATTAATCCACGTATCTAAGTCGTCGCTTTTTTTTAGCAAGAGGATTATATATCTTTAATCATGAAACAAGAAAGAAATATATAAATATACATGAAGATATTAGAACAAAAAAAAAGGGATGAAAAGGAAAATTGTATGAAAGAATGAAAGTGTGAATTAAAAGTGTGAATTAAAAGTGTAGATCTTTCGTCAACGTGACATAAATGCCCAAAACTGCGAATGTCCAAATGCAATAATTTCTTAACATACATGCGATAGAGAAAATTAGGCAAACCCATACACGAAGTTCCGAATCACGTTGACGTTGCTTTATATATGACAAGGTAAATATTCTGTATTACATTAATTGTATAATGAAATTGTGGAGAAAAATCCACTAGATTGCTTGATGTGTGTTCTGATTACACAATAAACGCATATAAAACGGAACGTATATGCATTGTGCTGCATTTCGCAAGCTATTCTTTTTGCTTTTGTTCATCTCTGATTAAAATTGCATGTTTACAACTTTTAACCAAAGACATTACCATCATGCAATTAAAATTGCTTTATCATTTTAAAATTGTTATTGCTCACAGATGTCTATACTAAACTAAATTACAAGGGCTGCGAACGTGTGCACGTAAGATTTCCGGTTGTATGCGAGAAAATAGCGGCGTCCTGTGTGTGTGTGACGTGTCACTTGGGTGAGTATTTACAACGTACAATGTGAGTCAGTGTGGCCATTAAATTACTGTCGTAAAACCAAAAATGCCAGCATCTTATTGCATCAAAAAATGTAACAAAAAAATAGATGGTATTGGACGTTATTTGCTCTGCTCATTTTTTAACAAAAAAATTTTATAACTAAACGTAGTGAAAATATGTGGCGATAGCGACCATTTTCTCGCATGCACCGGAAACTCTATCGGACACACTGTTACATGCTTTTAGACAGAGAGAAACCCGAGAGCGGCCACGGCATACGTTTTGGCCGACATCGATTTTTACGCTGTTTGATGCGCCATCTGCACCCATTTTTGAAATGGAACTACGTTCCCTACACCCATTTTCAGACGCTGCCGATAAAATGTCAATTTGTTGCGTGTCCATTCTATGCCCATTTTCTGGCGATTCGTGTCCGTGCTAAGCGCATAATTGCATGGTTAAGAACATGGACAGTCCATGTTTTCAATCACGCAATTATAGAGGAATAATAAATTATGATTGGTTAATTTCTTACGGCTTAAAGCTTACTACATCTACTGTAGATCGGGACTTAAGGCTTAAAGTTTGAGTCAGAAAGAAATAAAGAGAAAGAAACAAGAACATATTAGATCTGTTCTTTTTAGTTAAATTATTTGAACTATTTGCACTATTGATGCAATAAGCTGTGTAAGATAAATATATTTTGTTTCACTCTGATTTATTACATCAGTTCAGGTAGTTCAGCTAAAAAGAACAGATCTAACTAACGGCACACGGTGCTTGTTTCGTGCTGGATTGCTTGCTGGAATGCAAATTCCCTACTGGGTGCACTTTAATACTAAAAGTGCTATAGTATATGTAACATATACTATAGTATTTCTAATAATAGTGTCCACCCGAATGAGGAACGCAGCCTTGGTTGAAAATACTCTATTTTGATTGGTGCATTCCCATCCATTTTCAGAAATGCACCAATTAAAATAGAATATTTCCGTCTAGCAAACAAACCGGGTGTATATCAGTTGGACACGGGGCAATTGGACACAGTCCAATCACAAGTCGCTGTTCCAAGGGACCCTACAAATGTCTCTAATCACACGGTGCTGTGATTGGCTGTGTCCAAATGCACCGTGTCCAAGTGCACCGCTCCCAACAAACCAGCACGAAAACAAGCATCGTGTGCCGTTTGCTTTATTGTAGATCAACATTAGGGCTTGAGCAGACTTTTGTATAATGCATAAAGGAATCAACAAATATTACAAATATAAGGTGGTTTTCTGCATATTTTAATACATTAAATAAGTTTATTTATTTCGCGATTCTACGCGAGAAGTTTATAAAATAACTCCTGCAGATTTTTAATTTCTATATAAAGGAATATATATGATATATATACATAGCACACACACGTGTATATATATATATATGTGCGTGTGTGTTACAATATATTATCTACATTACGATACACAATAATTGTATGTAATAATATTTAACAATAACCACCTGTAATTTTCTGTTTTTCTTCTTCTTCTATCTTTTTTTTCTCTTCTGGGTACTGTTTGAAGTACCATTCTAGATATTCATCCTTCATTTGTTCACGACGTGCAAAGTATTTTGGATACATAGCTTTCTCCAGAGGATGCCAATAATCCAAGGCCCAATCTGGACAATGACTTTCTCTACCGTATGCACATCCTCCAATCGAATTGGCAAATTTAATTGGTTGATAATGTTGATTAGAAAAAAGTTCTTTTTCTCCTTCTTGCAGTAAATTATTTGCATGACGCATGTCTTTTACGTCTTTATTCTTATCAAAGCGTTCTCTCATTAAAACAGACTGATACCTGTGAAAAGATCATAAGCATATTATAATTGAATTGAATTATCAACTATAGATATATTATAATTGAATTATCAACTATAGGTCTATTTTGTATCGCTAAACTAGTACACTTATAGGACTTAAAAAAGAATAGATGAATAATTGATATTTAGTGGAAAAAAGTGAAAAAGGAACTGATAGTGCAGCCAATTCAGCAATAGAAAACAAACCTTATAATTGTATTCTTCAGTCAACTAATGTCCTCAAATTAGAAATATTTTTGACGAATAGAGACTGCTAGTAAAATTAGTTTATTGCTAACTTTGGTTTTGTAGTTTCTGCTTTACATTGCAATATCTGGATTGCTATTTCGTATATATCTACTGTCGTCTGTCAATTTGCTAAATGTTGTTACAAAAGTATAATCATAAAATAACTGCGTAACAACATGTACCAAGCCGACAGTTTGTAAACGTATACAAAAATAGTTCTTAAACGTGTGTTCGTGTTTTACTTTAAATGAAAAAGTGTCATTAGATCGAATAAGCCTATTTGACTTATTTTTGTATCAGCTAACGTATTCATGCGTACCTGAGCTCGTCCGTTTTGTGATACCAATCCGCTAGACAACGCAAAGCGCGTTTATACAGACTGCACACTTTTCGCGAGTGCGTTGTGAGCTCCGAGGGAAGCTGAGCCATTTTTATCTACAAAAAAGTTGTAATTCTCCTCTAAAAATCCTTTTCTTCGATCACAAGATTACATGAGCATACAAACGATACAAACCATGAATAAATTGCTCAACACTATAATAGAGTCTCTCTCCTCTCTTCTTCTCTCTCTTCCTCTCTCTGGCTGCGTTCCGAAATTCACTGCCAGTACTGAAATTCTATAGTTCATGTCACGTATACTATAGAGGTTACGTTCCGAAATTCACTGAAAGTACTGAAATTCTACAGTATACGTAACATGAACTATAGATTTTCAGTACTGGCAGTGAATTTCGGAACGCAGCCAGAATTTCAGTATTGGCAGTGAATTTCGGAACGCAGCCTATATATACTAGATCGCTAAGGGGCTTTGGCTACGTTCCGAAATGTACTGCCAGTACTGAAAATCTATAGTTTATGTTATATATATTATAAAATTTCAGTACTGGCAGTGAATTTCGGAACGCAGCCTTTGACGTATGGAAAGGCTGTGACCGGCCGGATATCCGATTCGGCCATGACACAACAAAATGGCCACTCTCGCTTTTTTCAGTTATTGTATGGGACGTACTAGAATATTTTTATTTCTTTTTCAACTGTAATAAAATCAAATTTGTTACTACCAATATGTAAAAAACACTTATAACATTAATATTTATTGTAATGAGTGGGTTTTGATTGACCATGGTACGATTAGACAATTTGTAATGATTGGTTCAATCTAGTAATTCACTAGATAATTCTTTTCATCGATTGGTTATGTCCAATCGTACCGTGGTCAACCGGAACGCTCCCTATTATAATAACGGGCACAGAAAATAATAATAAAACATTAATGTTAATATAGTAAAAAATATAGTTTTTATTACAAGTGCATACAACGCAGTATTATATTTGTAAGTATATATATATATATTGGGAGTACAAATAAGTCTCCGCCGTTTTTTATCAAAAATTGGGCATTTATTGTGAAAGAACGATACCTTATGTTTTATTCAAAGTATTGTCCATCGCTAGCCACTACTTTTTCCCATCTTTTTGGCAGCATACGGATACCGCGTCGGAAGAACGCTTCATCTTTTGAGGCTATCCACGAATCGACCCAATTTTATGTTCATATGATGTGAAGTGCTGCTCAGACAGGCCGTGCGTCATCGATCGAAACAAGTGATAGTCAGAGGGAGCAATGTCTGGTCAATACGGCGGGTGGGATAAAACTTCCCAATTGAGTGTTTCCAAGTAGGTTTTGACCGGCGCCGCAACATGTGGACGAGCATTATCATGCAGGAGAATAATTTTGTCGTGTCTGGAGTAGTAGTGGGCGCGTTTTTCTTTGAGTGCTCGGCTCAATCTCATCAATTGTGTTTGGTAGAGAGCCCCAGTAATGATTTCGTTCGGTTTGAGCAACTCATAATACACGACACCAAGCTGATCCCACCAAATACACAACATGAGTTTTTTTCCATGAATATTCGGCTTGGCTGTCGATGTTGAAGCATGGTCAGGTAATCCCCATGATTTCCTGTTTGGGTTATCGTAGTGGATCCATTTTTCATCACCAATGACTATACGATGCAAAAAACCCTTTCGTTTATGCCTGGCAAGCAGCATTT